ATGCTTTGAGTATCGTATCGGAAACGTGATGAACCCTGGGAGTGGGGCTTTGTCGTCTCCGATCGAAATGTCTGCCATTAAGTCGATTGGAAAATAATTGCTCCGAAAAGTATGTCGCGGCGGAGGATGCTCCAGATGGTTGGAAACCGGGGAAAGGGAAAATACGAGCGCGTTGCATGCGAAAATTATTTCCCTAAGGTAAAACTCTTCAGATTCCGCCCGAAAGTGAACGATGCGGAGCATCGGTGACAAATTAGCACGGTGATTCGCAGAAACCTCCGCGAAAAATCGTGGCGATTTTTCGCGAGCCTCGAGGCGATGCCGCTGGCTTCGAGGCGATGTCGCTGGCTTCCCCAAGCCCTCGATTAACCTGCTGTGACTTGAACGTAATTTGACGCCAAGTGTGAAGCGGATGCGCTAACAGGCCGCAGAATTGCCCGATAGGAGCCAAATGCCTGTTAAAGGTCCCTCTATTGTTAGTACGTGACAAACCTTATGGAAGAACCATGAGATCCCTGCCAATTTAATTTTAACCCCTCCTCCCCAAAAAAATAAAATTATCGGAATATCGAAAATGACAATTGTGGAGTCACGGCATAGACGCGTCCAACTTCGTATTTGCCATATTTAGCGTGCAGTAAACTGGATGTTGAAATCTTTACGGAAAGGATCAGTATAGTCCGCAAAAAACGTCATGGAGAAATGGCACTGGTGTGTGCATCGACGCCATCTCCGTTAAACTTTGGATGAGTTATGGAGTTCCCTGTCGGAAAAAATTCAACAGCCGGTTATACATCGGAGCATGATTCCGCTTGGATCGCGGAAAGGCATTCCATGCATGTGGCGTTCGAAGTATTGCGTTGTTGATTCTTGCACGGTCTCTTGTGCCATGGGACTACGCACTGTCGGTCACTCGCGAAGGAATTAGCGGTAGCGGACGGCGAAGGCATCGTACGGAAACCGTCAAGGAAGTTCCGAGTTTTCCAGGCCGATTTCCCCCGGGAAAACTTGGAAGTTTCAGGGCAATTGGCAGTTTTTCGAGGCTCGGGTCGTCACGATCGGTTTCGAGCCGCGAGTTCGAGTATTTGCAGTTCAGGGGAATGAGGTGAAGAGCGTGATCACGAAGAACCGTGATTTCGGACGGGTCGAAAGAGACGTGAGGAGCCCCGTGAGGAGCCCCCAGCGTCCTGGCGGACTCCTCCGCGAAGGGGAAACACACGGACACGGCTTTTGTTCCCACAATTTGCTCGCCCTCGTCTCGTGCTGGGGACCCCCCTCCGATTTTCTTTTCTCCTCTCGTTTCGCTTTTTCATTGCATAATGAGGATTATTCGGCGGACGCGAAGCGTCGTCCCAGAACGCCCAGTTTTACTGCTTTCCTGGCTGAAACTGAACGGAAGTAGTATCTTCATTTTAGAATTTTTTTTTATTTTCGTGAGACAATCTTTTTTCTGCGAGGTAAATTTGGAAGTATGTTTGTTTTGTTTTCTGTTGCGAGCTCTTGGGTTCCAAATCAGGTGCTCTTCTCTCTGGACTCGACTTGGTTTCACCCATATAAGGGTGAAAACCAGCGTGTCATTCTTCTCCGTTGGACCGAGGACGTTTAGCATTAGGTTTGAATGCTATTTTCGGGCCGAGATGGCCGAGACGCGGACGATTCATAACCTGGCATTTCGATCTCTATGTATCTTGTTTCGATCTGCTCCATCGCCTTCCATTGTTCCAACCCGAGGCACGCATTACAGGCTGAAGTCGTTGCTCATCGGCTCGATGCCTCATGAGTCCTCGATGTGAAAAATGAATGCGGGGTGCGGAGCCGTCCAACCAGAAAAACCAGTCCTGCCGTATCCATCAACAGGCAGTTACGTGGATCTCAACCTTGGAAGGAGACAGTTTTCCTTGGTTCTTTCCCACGTGCAGCGGTGGCTTAGGCGGGGAGAGAGACATTCCTTTATTAAATTATGGCGTGCCAGCCCAATATGGGTGCAGCTTAGTTTCCGTCGTAAATACAGTGTGAGCAATGTGCGAGGAATGATGATTATGATCATGCTAATAAAAAATAGCGCGATCACTAGAGGCACTCCATGAGGAAAGCAAAGATAGTTATTCCCCGAGACAGAGGTTAAGAGTCGAGAGCGGTGGAATACCAATTACAGTAAGTCACATCATTTCTGGTCGAGGCGAGGAAGAGCAGTCAAGACCGAAAATTGCACCAGACTTTGCACGGAGACGTCTGTAAGCGATGCGTCTAATTAGCTGGGAGTACCCAAAAATAGCGTAGGTGCCCTGAGAAGAAAATTGGGGTCGCCCGTGCCTCGTATTCCATCGTGGATCCGTCCAGAACCACGTGGGCGGGACGTTGGAAGATGAGAAAGTGATGCCCATCGAACACAATGCTCCGCACGCCTCTATTGTGTTCATCTCCCATTGTCATCCCTCGTATTACCATGCTGTAAGGGATAGCCCGTGCAGTCAGTCACTCGGTGGCACGCCGAAGGGGTTCCTTCACCCTTGCCCTTCCTTCTGTTTAGCGTTTTCGTCCGCTTCGCTCCCAGGCTGCCTCGTTTTTCATTCCCAGCTGACGGTCGCTATCCTTGTCGCGTGTGAATTCCGTGGAGAGGAAGTAGAGCGTGGTTGGTAAATGGTCAGTGCTGCCAAGTACCGGGAGTGAAGGGCACCTCACTTACCTCTTTATTGCGGAATTAAAAGAAATTGAGTCAATTACTCTTACTGGTTCCGAGGGTGATTTGTAAAACGCTCGATGACACACATTCTGGTGCGTTGACCCACGTAATGGGGCAGCACTGCTGATTGAGCCGAATTATGATGAATGCCGCCACGAATGGGACTGGGGGTTGTGAGGCTTTGATTGAAACGAGGCTCTGCGCCATTGTCCCGGGTCTTGATTGCCTCTATTGTCGGGTAGGGGGGTAAGACGAGAAAGATTTCCGATACCCCGAGGGGGAATCCGAGAAACACCACCCTGTTCAGGTTACAAAAAAAATCTCCTGGGTTTTACAAAGACGATTCTGTACCCCACCGTGTTGAGTCACGTCGCTATTGTACATGAAGAGCGAAAATGGGGAGTGAATTCTCTCCCATACTAACCTGTCTCATTCAAACGTGGATCTTTTTGTGTTCAAGGAAAAAAAAAAAGACTTTGCTCATTATCTTCCTCCGCATTATTGTCGGCGCTTCGCCACGGCAAGAAACCCTCCTGGAAACAAAAGCCCCACCAAAAATACCTCGTCACAAGGAATTGAAAAGGGAGAAACATTATGGTACCGGATTTGAGGCCCACTTATGTCGTCCTGGAAAAAAATAAAATAAAAATAAAATCTGATTACAGTAGCAGTTGAGAGGAAGTCACGTCTCGATCTCATTGAATTCAATTGAGGGCCGACTTATGAAGAGCCGGAATCCTTGCAACCGGTCGTTGCCCCAGAAGGAGTCGTCATGGAATAAAAGTATAATATAAACAGAAGTCAGAGATGTTATGCCTCAGCAATGACCCGGAAGTCATGTGATGCATTGCACGTGTGGCGCTATCAGGGAGAGCAGGAAGGAAATGTAGGCACTGGAGTGCAATGCCTAGAAATGCGATACGTGACCCATACGTCAGCCTCCGGACCTCACAAGATGTCAGTGAAGATGAGCTGGGTCGCTCCGGATCTTGGCCTCAGCAGGAACCAATCAGATTGCGTATCTCGGCCTCAACAGGAACCAATCAGATTGCGTATCTCGAAGTGTCTTGGAGAAGCGAAGCGAGGCGGGGGGAAAGGGAGGAGGATTTGGTTCTGCAAGTGAAGAGTGACAGGGGGGAAATGTTGCAAATGGGTGTCTCGCAGGGAAAGGCGAGAAATACATCTCGTGTTTAGAGCTTCGGCCTCACCTTACTTGTTTACCACCTCGTTTCGAGTCTATCGCTCTTCTCAGGCTGTTTCGCTCGTTTATTTTCGGGCCAGGGGTCTTTCCAGAGCTGTTTTCCCTCTTGACATTTATTCGGAGACACTGTGAGGGAGTCGGGGCTGCGACCGCAATATCTCATGAGTAGCTCGCTTGGGAAATTCTTTGCATTGCATGATGCTCTTATCGTTCGATAAGATAGGTGGTATTTGAGGTTGACGTCATATCATGGCTTTATGGGTTCAACGCAAACAAGAGGAACTTGGTCTGGGTACTCACCTAAAGAGACTGCAGAGGAATTTTCCCCATTTAACGACATCGTTATCGTAAGATAAGGTGGATCCTGCCGGAAGTTTATCTTGCATCATGGTTTTCTCTCAAGTCGAGGATGTTGTGGGAGCCTGGCGTTCTTGACTCGATCCACTTTGATAGGCTGGTTCGCCTAACATTGCTAACTGGCTTGGCTTTTTCCCACCTGACTGAGACGTGAAAGAGAAGGGCTGAATCAATTCGAGGCCGGTGTCCTCGTGGGCATTCCATACACAGTAGCGCATAATGAATTCATCTCAGTAGGTGGCGACCATGGTGGCGCGAAAATGAGAGTAATCGGTTATGTATAGAAGGCATTATATTAACGTCTCTGGAGACGGCGCCGGTCAAATGCTCGATGCAGCGGTGCATTCGATTTGATTGATGACGTTTTAAATTTTCTATTGGCTGAGATGACAGAAAGTGATCATCACATGATGGAACAGTCCAAGATTATGTTTGAGTGATAGCCGATCGCTCGTGACTGATTGCTCAGAATGCGATAACGAAGACCTCACTCAGTCCTGCAGGGATATGCAGGGAAGAAGCGGAGGGGGAGGGGGTGGGGGAAGAGAAAAAGAGAGACGCTATTTATCAGAGGTTAGGTATGCAGGAGGGCGGGTCGGCATCTGACATCAATTACTGCATGGTTACTGTCAACCCTGCCCTGGCAATGGCATAAATGCTGCCTCTCTCATCCTTTTCAGCCCTGTCAAAAGGGAACCTCCTCTATACCTCTTAGCCTCTTTTTAGCTCACATTTCTGGCTTATGTATGGCTTACTTGAATGAGGTGGGGACTCATCCTTCATGTCTCCCCCCTCCCCCTCACTACCCAAAGTAGGGATTCATCTCCTTGCTCTAGAGGGCTTAGCTGAAAATGAAAGAAAAAAAGACATAAGAGGGGTGTTATAAATATGGAATCTGTGTTTATGATCATGGGATTAGGTATCTGAGAAACCTTCCTCCCCAAACAAAAAAAAAGCATCAGAATGCACTCTCTTTCATTTCTCACCATAGCTCCCACAAACATGAGAAGCTTGGAAAAGTCAAAGTAATGGAAGCATGATGGAAAAGTCAGAGGAATCATTCTGGTTACCTTGAAAATGGGCAAAGTATAATTTCTTCATCAGTTGGTCCAGAAGGAAGTGGGGAAACTCATGACCTTCCTCAGGAAGGCAGGCTGCTTAAGAAAGCTGACTTTGGAATCATCCCTAAGAAAAGCCTGGACAACCTTGAAATGTCAGGGGATATTGGTTTTAAGACTAATGCTTCTGTCACCCTTACTCTTCCTTAAATTTTCTGTTGTTGCTCTAACTATAGCTCTTACATGTCCTCTTTTGTTTTTAAATTCCAGATAACAGGCAAGCGCCAAGGTTCATCACTCAGCCTTCATCCTCAGGGAGCATAGTGAATATTGGACAGACCAAAATTCTTCAATGTCAAGCTATTGGTGAGCTGTTATTCATCCATGCAAAGCATTTAAAAGGATAGATGAGAACTCTGAAAGTTTTGAAACATGTATTATGGGATACTGTTAAATCTGTTATTCAGTTTTTTGTTTTTGAGAAAGGTATGCATGCAGTGAGACTGATTTTTTAGATTTTGTTGCCCAAATAACTTCATAAAAGGATTAAATAATTTTGTGTCAGTTGGTGAAATTGAAGCTTTCCTCTAAATCCATGAAACAGGTTATCCACAGCCAGAGTACCTGTGGTTGAAAGACAGGAAGAAGTTGGGTGAATTCACGTCTGAGCATTTTTATCGCATTCAGTCAGTGCAGAAGGAAGATTCTGGATCATATCAATGTATTGCAAGGAACAGCGTTGGCTCCATCTTCAGCGAAAAGGTCCAAGTCTCTGTTGCATGTGAGTTCAATTCCTCAAATCCTGGCTTTATAATTCCAGTGATTCAGAATTTACCTGGAGTTTCCTGAGAGCAGGTTGATAAAAGTTTTATATTATAATGTATCTTAAAATGTTGAAAATTGCTGAGCTCTTGCTAGTCATGTACTAGGCTGAGCCCAATGAAACACCATGAAGTCCTGATAGTTGCACAGACATATTTACTTTCTCTACTTCATCTTCACATCCCAAATACCTCCAATACCTATAATGATTGGTTCCAATGCTGTCTTGAGTGTTGAGCAGTATTTGATTTGACTGGTAAAAGTATGGCATATCTAATTAATTTGAAGCCCATCTGTTCTTGGTAATTGTATTTAAGTGCAATTTTAGTTTTGATTATGGTTCATGGTAATTCAGTTGATCCCTGATTAATCTGATTAATTAATGACATTCCTCTCCTCAGATATGGAAGATTTAGGTGCCCCAGCAAATCAGACAGTGACAGTATCATCTGGGGAAGCTGCTGTGTTCCAGTTGCCACAGCTGAGCAGTTACCCAGTACCATCATTCACCTGGCAGGCTAATGATAATACCTTTCTCTACGGTCTCAAGTATGCTCTCACATCATCCCCACGACATCAGCTCATCATTCTGGCCACAGAGGCTTCTGACCAGAAAGCATATCGGTATGTGCCACTCTCTTCCTTAAGCTTACAGAGTCTGCTGGCTTGACTCAGGACATTGGGATTGGAAATTCCCAATTGGGGAATAGTACAAAATTTCTGGAGGCTCCCTGGATTATCTACAGATAGCTTGCTTCAGGGAAGTATCCCATGGAGGCAGTGTCATAAAAATACTAGTCTTCTTAAAATTTCATCCAATCAAAAGGAGGACTATTATGCAGGAGTGCAATAAGAAGTGCTACTTTGAAGAAATATCATGACATGCTTATCTTAATTTTAAAATGCTAGCAATTTTTCCAATATAGTTTATGAATTACATATGTATTTATTTTTAGTGCTCGGGTGACGAACACACAGCTGGGTGAAGATTCTTATTCTGGATATTTTGATCTCCAAGTCCGTCAGACTGGAGTTGATTCCATTCCACCACAAATCATTGTCCCACCTTCAGAAATGCAAGTTGTTAAGGGCACTTCAAATGTGCGGCTGGAATGTATTGCCAATGCCAAGTGAGTTCTTGTGCCTTCAAAGCTAGGATACTGCATAACTAACAGGAACAGAAAAAATGAGAATTTTTTAAAGCAAAATCATTTTGCAGAAGCAGCAGGAGACTGACTATTTTTCACTCCTCTTTGCTCCTGATAGTTGCAACATCTTATTTTAGGGATATATTTCATTGGACAACAATTGAGTTTCTAGTAATTTTATTAAATGCCAGCTCTCAGAGAAGTGTGATTTATTTCTCATGAAGCTGAACACACTCTGTTATTGGAAATGAAAGCAGCTTCTTGCATGTAAGTTGTTACAGAAGCAGAAACTTCAGAATTTCAGGCTATAAAAGTAGCATAAACGTAAATGTTTGCATGCAAGAATTCTAGATCATGTAAGGAAGTAGAATACTGTTTTTTTATTCCACAAAGGTCTTGATGTCAGCTTAAACTAAAGGTTACCAAACTTCTGGTTCAACCTGATATGAGCCCACATGCTGCAAATGTGAGATATGCAACACTGATTTGAAAGCTTGCACAGCATCAGGGTTCTACACCTAGAAGTAGAGCAATAAAATTAAGCTCATAATTTTCATACCATTTTTCACAAATGTAGGAAACTTGATATCTGGTCGAAATGTGAAAATTTTGATCCAAAAAATTTTTTATTTAAAATAATTTTGAAGTTGATTGAAAAACTCTTGGTAATTTGGATAAATATGTGAGGCATAGTTTGTTTTCTTATAGGGGAAAAGTATAAACTTGAATAATACAGTGAATGCTTCCCCTTGACCAGGCCATTGTACCAGTTGGAGACACTCTGGTTTAAGGATGGCAATCGCATGGAAGAAACAGGTCTGCCATATTCATTTGACCTTTGGAATCGCACACTGAATCTCATCTCTATAGACCAGAGACATTCTGGGATCTACAAGTGTGAGGTGAAGTTACGCTCCGACAATTCAGCCACTGTGTCGGCAGCTGCATCCATCATTGTCATTGGCAAGTTTAAATGTCTTCCTCCATTTTGCAATTATTTAGCTATTTTGGGACTTTCATATGAAGGACTTTTTTCCTGAGGATTCCTGGAAAGCTTTTGTCATGACTAGTAACTTCTTTCTCCTTTATTTAAATAGAATAAGTTACAAGACTATATACTTTTATTTTAGTTAACTCAAAAGTTGTGTTTTCAGTTCTGTCATGAATTTTTTATTAAGTCTCAGAAAAGCATCAGCAAAGCAGAATATATGAGAGTAAAAAATGTTTGTTTCTTATTGCAAAAGTGGCATTAAAAAATGAATGAAAATGATGAAATATATCAGGTTGTAAAGGTGAAATTTAGACATTTCGATTTTTTCTAGAAAAATCTAGAAAATGTTAGAACTTTCTATGTAGGTGTATAAGTAGAGTGACCAGTGGGCATTGTGGGCGTGAGTGCTTATCGNGACATTTCGATTTTTTCTAGAAAAATCTAGAAAATGTTAGAACTTTCTATGTAGGTGTATAAGTAGAGTGACCAGCGGGCATTGTGGGCGTGAGTGCTTATCGTGAACCTACAACAGATACATTGACACAAGACTGCACTCTAGTCGTTGTTGAGTTAATTGTTAATAAATTGTTTTCTGGAAAATGTCTAAATTTCACCTTTACAACCTGATACTAGTATATAGAATGATGCATAAGGAAATCTGCAAATATATTTGAATGGATCTCAGATGCTACTACCCATAAGGATTATGAAGTTCTAGGCAATTTCTGTGTGATGTTTATTTTCTGTGAAGAGATATTGCAGGTTATCGTTAGAGTTGAGACTATGCATTTCCAGTTTCTCAAAGAACCTCCATGATTTTTTGCTTTGTAGAGAGACCTGTGCTGACGAAACAGATGAGCCTAGAAACACTGACAGAGTTTGGGAGAATGGAGACGCTTCCCTGTGAGGCCATTGGGACTCCAGCCCCAAATATCTCATGGTTCAAAGATACTATTCTTGTCCTTAATGGATCCAATCCAAGGTAAGTTGTTAGATTGGTGCAGGGTGATTCTGTTATCTTTTATATTATGCTTGCAGGTACAATATTAGATGATTCAGCCTTTTGTTGTTTTTTTTTTTAAATTCCTCCTTTTCTCTGCTATCAGTTTATCTGAAATAGTCTATTGAGTAATCATTTAGAGTGTTTTTAGAAGAAAAGGCTTAGAACATCATCTGTACTGGAACTGGAGCAATGAAACCCTAGTACTCATACCATAACACTGAAGGTTAGTAATAAATGATGAGATGGATGTGGTTGTTTCATGTACCAAGGTACTCATTTGGGGAGGATGGTTCTGTAACTATTGAGAACATTGAGATGGCAGATACAGGAATGTGGCAGTGTATGGCTTCAAATGCTGCTGGAGAGGCATCTGCTGCCACTTGGCTTCGTGTTCGAAGTATGTTCATTTCTCTCATTCAATCTGCTTCACTCATGAACTTTCCTAATTGAAAGCGGTAGAGGGATTTATTACTAATGAAATCATATATAATTCATGAATGATAAATAATTTGTAACAAGCATAAGAGGAATTGTAATCATGATCAATAAATTCAGGTATTGGGAGTTCATAAGAAATTCAACTTAATATTCTTATAACATTGTGTTCCTTTTCCCCACTGGTGCACACACACCTGTCATGGTGTTTTCAGCCATAGTTGTGCAAAAGTGTGCTTGAGGTTCACTGCAAAGTCAATGTCTTTGTTCAGTTTCCTTGCCTGCATGTGTTTAGACACTTCAAGGTAGAGATGCAATGGCGTTTTTTGCTTATCTGGGACTGGCAAAAGCATAGCCATTATTTTTAAGCACAAATGCCTTTGGCTCAACTTGGCCAACCCATAAAAACTTAAAATTAGGGGCACAGAATAAGAACGAAGGAAAACTATAGCCTGGTGCTTTTGGAATCCCCAACCCTTGCCCTCATTGATGGCTGAGGTCTACTAATTCTTATGTATTCCTTAATTTTAAATCTAACGAGGTGATTTTAGTGGCATACAATATTGAGTTTTGTTAATCTATGTGAGGATTTAGCCAATTGCAAATGTATGGCATCTACATGCCAATCCACAATCTGAGCTAGTCCATCGCCTTGAATTTCAGTTCACCATTTTGTGGAAAAGCATATGTTGAACCTGCATTACCTTCCTACAGTACTGGGGACTGTAGGAAATATGCCCAGTAGCATAATTAGTGCTGGTACTAGAGAACTAATTCTCTTGCATTGCATCTCTACTACTTCAAGCTACCAAGCATCCTTATTGTCTGTTCCATGTTCCTTTTAAATAATAGAAAGTTAGGTAACTATCCTGAGAATTCAGGTAGGAGGCCTAGTGTTCCTTAAAAGAAAAGAAAGAAATGCAATCCATCAGCCAGCATCTACTTAGGATTACTATGGACTTTGTATAGTGTACTAACATAGGAAATGGTGATGGGTGAAACTAACCTAGAGGAATTTTCCTTCGAACTTGAAGCGTTGCGTCGTTTTGGGAAAGAGAACGGGATCCTAACCCTTCGACTCATCCCTGGGAACGTGGAAGATCCTCTGTCTGGTGCGGGCTGTAAGATCCTAATTCTCCTCCCCTGGAGTGGATTCTTTCTTTTCTCCTGTGTGTCTTGGATAATATATGCCTGACTTTCATTAAACTGCTGAAAACCAGGGGTAGGTAATCAAGGTAATTTGAATTAGACCTATTTGAATGGAAGACTGAATTTGAGCTCAAGCTTAATTAGAATAGTATAGTAAATAGTGGCCACATCCCTTGCTTATGAAATAGAATATTGAATATAGCATGGATGCTTAAATATTTATTGAGTCCTTGAGAAATTATATTCAGTGATTACCCACCCCTGCTGGGAATGCATCAAAGAAGCAGGGCACCCAAATGACTCTCATTGGCATAGGACTTCCACAGGCTAGGAAAGCTAAGAAAATTCAGGGAAAAAGAAGTGAGGACTGAAATTAGGGGTTCTGAGAAAATTTTCCAATTTCCTGAAAGTTAGAGAAATGAACAAAATTTTTTCGAGGATTGCATGGAAGTCGAGAGAAAAAAAAGATGCTTGAAGATCATTTGTGAAAATGAAAAATTTTGCTGTCAGGAAGCTAATCTCCTACAGAACTTGGTAAATCTATGATAGTTGAATCTCAGCATTCTTGGTACCTGATTCACTGTCGAACTAATCACATATCATTTTGAAGAGCTAGACTGAGAGCCTTCAGAGTAGAGCTGGCTTAAGATAGGACAAAATGCTAATTGAATCACATGTTCAACATTGTCTTTGAGTATGTCTTTTTGGAGCTACCTGCTTAGATACTTGCTTATAATTTTAATCAGAATGTATTTTTTGTGATTCCCTATGGCCAGGTACAAAAGTAATGGTAAATTTATTCATAGACTATTCCAGATACTCTCAGACAATTTGTAAAAGTTTCATCTGGGTGCCAGTATTTCACTTCTGTGATGCTTTTTTTTGCAGTTTAGAGCTATAAACAATTCCATATATATTATCCAAAATTCAGTCATGTGTATCCTTCTGCTTTTGCACAGTGCTGTTAAGTCCATTGTCTCCTTTGCACTGAACATGCTTGCTGTCTTCTCTCTATTATTTTATTGAACACATCTAGTTCCTTTGCTTCTTTGTTTGCTTACCTCAGTCATGAAATGACTGAGATTCTGCACTTATTTGGATGACTATACTCATTCAGCCTGGTTTTTAAACTGTCAAGTTGATGATATATATGACTGCATGGCACATTATCAATTGGACTCTGGTTGAACACAAGATCAGGAATGGAGTGCATGAACCCATTAGTGTCCATACAGTGTTTGTTTCAGAGTAAAGTGTCTGCCAGGGATTGCATTGACATCATACTTCTCAATATCTCAAAAGAGAGAAATTTAATTGTGTTTTTTTTATCCCTCCAGTTTTTATATCAAGTTGAGGAAGAAATGAAATTAAATCAATTGAATCATGGAACAAGTCTTATCCTAAACAATCTCCAGATAAAGTAACAAGATTGAAGTGGGACTTCTAAATTTTCATCCTTTCTTTGGTAAGATCCAGCTATATAAGGAAAGGGGAATTTGTGACTTTAAAGGAATCCTTTCCATATGCATGTCGTAGTCCTGCACCAAAAGGAGTACTTTCATGTGACCAGCTTTGTATTCATGTGGGAATTGGATTATGGTTTTGGAACTATACAAGACCATTAGTAATTTTGTGGATGCAGTTTTCAGCAGAGATCTTCTTTGGAAAAGAAGTTATGAAAAGGTACTGAACATACTCATGGCATGCACTTAGTCTTTATCTATTTAGCTGGTTGCAGCTGAAAATTGGGAAATATTTTTAAACCATGATAACGCTAGTGTTCTTAATTCAGAATTTGGGTTCAGGACACACCCGATGGTAAGAAATCCTTTCGTCTACAGCAACAGCTCCAGTTTGGGTGAAGAAACCAGTTGATATGACAGCATTAGATGGAAAGGATGCCACTATCCAGTGTCAAGCCAGTGGTTCTCCCACCCCAAATGCCACCTGGATCAAGCCAGGTAATCTTATTTTCCTGTATCAAGGAAATCCAGAATTCTTCAGAATGACCACCCTCTGTGAATGACAACCTTTAGAAATTTTTTTAATTTCCTCATTTATCCTGTTTGCATCCAGCATTCACTTACTGTTAGAACCTTTGCTTTCAAAGTATTACTTTTTTGTTTTTTAATGTTTTTGTTTAGAAAATAGGCTAAAACTCAGCAATAGCTAAGTGCAATTTATTGTTAAATAAACTTAAAAGTTTTCACATTGTGATTTTGTAATATTAGCTTAATGTTAAATTATTGCCAACTTGTAATAATTCTGATATTGTAAAGAAGAGCTTTTATTTAAGTTCCTCTGTATCAATTTGTAAGTCAAAACTGATCTACTAGTGCCCAATATTATATGATAAGTGGGATGCAAAGATATATGAAATCCATAATCTTTTGGGAAATAGTACTTCACACCATGGTGTCTATAACATGAAGGAACTGAATTTGTACATAGATGGAAAAGTGGTGGATGGTGTTGGTCGGCTCCAGGTCCTTGATTCAGGAGATCTCCTTGTTGCTGCTGTGAGAACCAGTGATGAAGGGATCTACCAGTGCACCAGAGCCAACGAAGCTGGAATGCTTCAAGCAACTGCTCATCTTGGTGTCCTTGGTATGTTCTCTTCTTCTTCCTCCAAAGAGGCTTATGGATGGAGAACTTACTCATTGGCTTATTGCTTAATAGTGAGGACCCAGATCATTCAGCCACCGGTTGACACCCGTGTCATCTTGGGTCATGTGGCGACTCTCTTATGCAAGGTCTCCAGTGATCCTAAAGTTCCATTCAAGATTACATGGTTTCATGATGGCGAGTGAGTTCCTTTCTTTTGATGCAGTATTTCATGATTGGTGTTGCTTTTTAAATCTTCTTCCTCTCTTTTTTGAAATTCTGATAGCATTTTTCATGTTTTTTTCTCACTTTGAAATTATGAGTTAATTCTAATAATCTTGTACAGAGATTGTAAACATATTGAAGCATGGCAGGTGACTTGTTGCAGTTTTTTTCATCTAATTGAATTGATTTTCATTGAATTTTGGATAGAATTTGAACTGTGCTCTGTCTCTTATCTGTGCATGTTTTTCTCAAGGTACATGGACCCACTGGCTTCCCAACGAATATCCATGAAGCAGGATGGAACCCTGGAGATCCAGGAGGCTCGGGCATCAGATGTTGGGGAGTATGCATGCAGAGTTACATCTGGTGGAGGGAATGAGAGTCGATCAGCCCATCTGGCTGTAGTCGAACTTCCATATGCACCATCCAATGTTAAGGCAAACCTTCTCCTTTCATCACCACATGTTGCCAATGTGTCATGGAGTCCTGGATTTGATGGCAACAGTGAAATTCTCAAATATATCATCCAAATGAGAATTGTGCCCAGTTCAGGTAAGGTTTGAAAACAAGGCTGAATTGATGAAAAATATCATATTTTTCTATTTGTTGACATGGTCTATGAAGGCAACACATTAAAATAAAAAAGAAAACCCTTATGATTCAAGAAAGAGATGAGAAGATGTTATAGGTGGAGAAATGTTTGATTGTGTGTAAATAATTTTAGGAGATAATGGTTATAAATGTTTTGTTATTTGAGTCACATCAACTCAGTAACCATGCAATGGTAGCCAAGTGAGGAGAAGGATGCCATTTCAAGTGACAATAAGTTAATTCTAATTAGAAGTATTTATGCATATTTTATATATTAATATATAACATCATAATGCTTATAATTTCATAATGCTTATAATTAAGTGTGATGTTTCTTTTAATGCATTTGTGAAGATTATGTAGATAAATTTATAAAAGTTGCATATTGGAGATTTGAAGTCTAACAAAAATTGGCTCAAAACCCATAAATTTTCACAATTCTGATAAAAATTTAGTTCTTTCATTTATTTATTTTGTCATGCATTAATGTTTTTATGTATTTGTAATTGGCCTCTATGTAGGACTTCATTAGTTATGTGATATTTGGGGGTCTGTATTTCTTTTTAAGGCTGAAAATTCAGATAATTCAGATCAGGGCTCCTCTTTTTGTGTGATCTGGTTTGAGGTACTAACTACCATAAATTTTCATATGCTCTATTATTTATGATTGTATTCTTTCTTTGAATAGGACTCCTTCCAGCCCCAGACTTGAGCTGGATGACAGCATTGGTAAATGTGAGCCATGATGATCGTTGGGCCTTGATATCAGGACTGCAAGCAGCAGCCTCTTATGAGTTTCGTGTCAGTGCACTGAACAGTGTAGGTGAGGGTATTCCATCAACTCAATCCAACATGATCACTCTTCCTCCTGAGCCACCTTCTGGTCCTCCACAGGTATTCACTCATTTTAAACAAGTAATATCTCATGTTGACATTGTACAATGACTTCACAAACTTTTGCATAGCATTGAAGCCTTCTTGAATCTATTCCTTACCCTGGCATATATTATATTCTATGTACTATTGATGATTTAGAGAAGCATGAAAGAACCTAATAGTGTATGAATTCATTTGGAATCCACTAAACCCTCCATAATATTTTGCAGGGATTGGTGGGATCAGCTCGTTCTCCCACAGCCATCATGATACAGTGGCAGCCTCCCCGATCCGAAGAGCAAAATGGCCGTATCCACGGCTACATAATTCGATATCGACTCTTTGGCTATGGCCACTCCCCTTGGTCATATCGGAACATCTCCAACGATGCTCAGCGGAACTATCTTATCCAAGAACTCATCACATTCAAGGACTATGAGATTGGAATCGCTGCTTTCAATAAGAAGGGAGTTGGGGTATTCAGTGAGAGCATTCGTGTCAAGACACGTGAAGGAGGTGCCTCTCATTTTCTGTTATTCTTAGTTAAGTCTTAGTAGCCCAATGCAGTAAGCTTAGACCAAGTGGTTTATGGTGTATAGGATAGCCCCATTTATTCTTCATGTAGAAAAAAATAAGTTGTACTAATGGAAGTGAGACAATGTTATCATCATTATCATAATTTTCATATGTATTCATTTGTAATTGAGTCAGGATGGTTTCAGGTATCCATATACCAAGAAGAATCTCCCTTTTCTCTGAGAAATTTTGAGGTGGTGGCACCCCCTGCCAAAATGTGGTTCCTATTATATGCTGTAATGATAGGAAATTAATTATCTTTGGGAAGCCATCTGTATCTAGAGTTCCAACTGGAAGCAATTTTCTGTCATAATCTAATGGAGTGACCCAGAATTAAGAGAGGATGGAGAAGGAAATGTGCTCAGTTCAATGGGTGTTGGGAGCAGGTGTTTATTTCTTGGAAAATAATGTTATTGATTATTCCATGAGTGAATCTATAGACACTGACTTTTTTGGATATCAGTTTCTGAAGGTGAGATATGATGAATTCATGGAGTTTGTTTTTCCTCTGGTCAGTGCCTGAGGCAATGCCAACAGAAGTGCGTGTTGAGGCAATTAACTCTACAGCTGTGCGCATTTGGTGGAAACCACCTGACCCCCAGAAAATCAATGGAGTCAATCAAGGTTACAAGCTCTCTGCATGGAAAGGTAGGAGCAATCACTAAGTCCCACACTGAGTTGTTCTGTGTATTCACATTGTAAAAGTAACACAAATTATTCTGAGAAAGTTTTAAGAAAAATTGAGTAAATTTTGAAAAAGAGCATGTTTTCCCTTCCAATAGTGAACCCATCCTTGGATGCATCGGTGGAACCTGCCCTGGTTAAAACTGTCAATCCAAGTCCCTTTGATCCTTTGGCGGAGCAGGAGGCCATTGTTGGTGACCTTGAGAAGTACATGGAGTATTACATCACCGTTTTGTGCTTCACTAATCCTGGTGATGGTCCCAATTCTATTCCTGTTTACACCAGAACCAAGGAAGATGGTGAGTTTTTTACTTTGCCTCTTGCTGGACTGGTATTTTGATGACAAAAAGATTGAATGGATTATGTTTCTCTTCAGTTCCGGAGCCAGTGAAGGAGATGAAATTTGAGAACATCACAGATAGGGAGGTGACAGTATTGTGGACTGCCCCTGAGCATGCGAATGGGGTTCTCCTTGGCTATACACTTATTTACATGGTGAAAGACCTGCCCCACACAGCTGACATCAGAAATTTGACTGCAGGAACTCTCAGGCTTCGAATCACAGATTTACAGGTTCACCTTCCTTCCTTTTCCACTCTTTAGCCCTTTCTTGCAAAGTGTCATAGATTCTTTTTTGAGTTAACATAACTGAACTATCAAACTTGCAGAATATGACCAGCCTAATAAATATCCAGGATTTAGCAAACATGAGGAATGAGTTTGAAATTTCCAGATCTGGCTATTAAAAGCAGCATTTTTGCCTCTCTGGGATTTGTGGATGATATGATGGAGTAAAGAAAATTTTTGATGATGGTTTCTTTGTCTCTCATTTTTGTAGTGCTTGTGAAGTTGCTTATAGGAGTTTGCTCAATATCTTTTTGTAGTAGTTGTATCTTTCCGAGAAAAATATGAGTTTGCCTGACTGTTGCCAATTTCCTGTAGGCTATGACCCACTATCGCTTTGAGATCTATGCCTGGACTTCAATGGGTCGTGGTTCTTCAAAAGTGGCAGTGATACAGTCTGGGGTGGAGCCAGTACTTCCTGACCCACCAACTAAGTTGGCTGTGTCCAACATTGAGGCCTTCTCAGTTGTACTTCAGTTTACTCCTGGGTTTGATGGAAACTCCTCAATCATCAAATGGGTTATGCAGGTCAGTGTAACAGAGTGCTATAATGCATGCATTGTTCCATATGGATATATGCTACCTCTACAGATAACTCTTCATCAATATTCTAGTAACTATGCAAATTGAGCTTATGTGATATAACTGTGTATGTAATGGATACAGCTATATTCAGTATTGGTACATATTTGGTTATTCTTGTGGACAGGCTCAGCCAGGTTTGAGTACTGATTGGGAGGTGGTGGACGAGGTGAGTGCACCTGATGCAGCCACCCTGACGGTCTCCAACCTCATCCCGTTCACGAAGTATCGTGTCCGACTCCTAGCAACTAACATAGTTGGCATGTCATCACCATCTGAGCCAACAAAGCCTTTTCAGACGATCCAGGCTCCTCCCGCCCATGCACCCAATAATGTCACCATTCGTGCTGTATCAGCCACAGAACTCCGAGTTCGATGGATTGTGAGTCTTACACACACTCTGTATCATCCCCCAGATGTTTTTTGTGTCTTTCTGTTGGTTAATTATTTTTTGCTTTCCTTGGTTTTAATTGTTTTTTTTATTACTATCATATAGATATCTATTTTTTTCCCAGTTATTGTTTCACTCTTGTGACAACTGACATTTGCTTATTTGCAGCCCCTTCAACAAATCGAGTGGTATGGTACACCACGAGGGTACAACATCACCTATAAGCAGGCTTCTCAGGATTCACGAGTTGACACGATCAGCATAGAGGACCATAATACCAATTCCTACATCCTAGATGGGCTGGAGGAATTCACTTCTTATGAAATTGTAGTCAGTGCATACAATGATGTTGGGGCATCTCCACCCAGCCCTGTTGCTGTTTCCAGGACCCGAGAAGCAGGTTAGTTGCCCTCAGTAATGTTATTTGTTGTTTTTGTGTGTGTTGATGTTGTGATATGGAAATATTGCTGATTTCTGGAATTCTGTTAAGAAATACATGGATGACTGGTGACAGTAATCAATAAAAAAAAACCAGGCCTGGTAAAACAGACCAGATTGTTTAGAAAGACTTTCACTTCCTCTTCTTAAAGATCTGACAGGAAAATCATCAACATATCTGTATGATAAAAATCATTGCCCCATTGTGGCAGTAATCTTAATACAGTATATGCTGCTATTTGGTAACTGGTTAGGGACAATTGTAGTGGTATCTTTCATCGTTATGACAAGTGTCTTCATGGCCATTGCTTCCATTGCAGCCCCAAGTGAGGGACCAGTTGCTCTGTCTGCTAACGCAACATCATCTACCACTGTTGTTGTGAGCTGGGGTACAGTTAAGGCAAGACATCAGAATGGCATCATTGAAGGCTACAAAGTCTACTATGGAGCAAAAGATGTCCCCTCTCAGGTAGCCTTAAGGATTCAGTACCTCATTCATCACTCTAAAACAAAATATTTCAAATTTGTGGAGGTTCCCACAAAGTCAAGGAAATTGATCATGTTCCAACAATAGTTTAATACAATTTTAAGTTACTTGAATTTTTTGCAAGTCAATAAAATTTTCTAAATGCATTTCATTGTAAACTTTATGCTTTTACATCATAGATGAAAGTCATGTGTAATAACACAAATTTTGATCAGAAAAATCATCCCTGTAATGAGAGTGACCATGCAATATTGGTATAACATACTGCCTTGCTATGACACAGTGCTTAGTTTGATGCTTAGATGACCATATCCTAGACTTTTTATTTATTTAACTTAAACTTATTTAACTTAAAGTTAAAATATAACAAGTCAGGAATTGAATCTCACATTTATGTGGGGATCCTGAATTGACCTATTTATAACTTCCTGGACTTCTTGACTCTGTAACTTGAATATCTTTGATTCATGAAGTCAATTGTGAGTCTTGAAGTACCTTATACTTTTAAATTTAATGTGTTTTCAGTAATAATGAAGGTTTCAAGGTTGTCCAATATGAAATAACTTTTCCTTCCTTTATTCCAGTACAAGAAGATCCCAAACAACAGTACATCTACCACAACCCTTACAGAGTTGAGGAAGTACACTGAGTATCACATCCAAGTGCTTGCGTACACCCGAGTTGGAGATGGAGTTCTTTCAACGCCCCCAGTCTTGATTCGCACCCATGAAGATGGTAAGGGTCTTTTCTGGTTTCACCTACTGTCAAAGTCAATCCTCTGCTAAAGTCTTGCTTTGCATATGCATCCTTCAGTTCCTGGAGCTCCATCAAATGTGTCCTTCCCTGATGTGTCATTGACAATGGCACGAATCATCTGGGATTCTCCACTTGAACCCAATGGTCAGATCCTGGCATATCGGGTCACTTACTACAGGGAGAAATACATGGATACCAACATCACTCAGGAGTTCTCACCAACTGCTCGCACCTATAGGTACGTTTCAATCAGGAGTTCCAATTGTTTTCACTTGAGAGTACCAGTTTCAGGTCATTTCATTACCTGGTAACTAATAGTAGTCATGTGATTCCCCAATGGTTAACCTGAATCCAGATTAAACTTCCCAGAAGGGGAAAATTCTCTTACTAAAAAGTGGACTTTCTGGATGGGAATTATAAGTTTTTCCTCAAATTTTGCCCTTTTTCAAAATTACATCTCCCCCCTCAAATCTTTATTACTATCCCTGACATAAGTTGTCTCTCCTCTCCAGGTTGTATTACCCATTGAGGATGAAAAAAAGGAGTAAGAGGGAAGAGTGATTAAGATGGGTTATTTTGTTTACTAGTTAAATGTTGGGGGCTTTTGGTTTGAATTCTTAGCACAGACTCTTCGAACATGCAGTAATATCCACTAGCTTCTGAATCACACTACTTCAGTACTTTATAACATATATGAAGGCTAATTGGCAGAGGGCTTCTCCTTTTGGGGTAAATAAATTTAAATTTCCTGCTTCTCACTCTGACAGCTTTCCAAGCCTACCCAGCAAGTTCGTTGCCAACTCTTATAGACTATTGATTTAGCTGCAGCTATCAGTGTATCAGTGAAGATAGTGCCTCTTTGTTAGACCATCTATGGTCTTGCAGTTCAGAGAAGACAGCAGCTGGGACCAATGAGTGGTGTTGCCATGCTTCACTAGTTAATATATTAGGTTTTTTGCAATTGCTCTTGCCTTGTGTCTCTTTACTCCTACGAGAATACCAAGTAAAAACATGTTGGTAACCTCTAAAGAAGCTCCATGGATGGAAAAAAAGGTATTTCGTTGAGAAATCAGTTGAGTGGGAGTGAGGATTCAGAAGCAATTTCATCATTCATCAATTGTTTAAACTGGAAAAGCAATTGCATAATGTGATGAGTACTGACATGCTTGGGCCTTTGACTTACTACTTCAGTATTTTATATGAAGACGCTATTGAGACTAAATTGCATTTTGTATTTTTTTAAACAGAGCAACAGGGTTGTCTCCTGAGACCTACTACATGTTCCTGGTGACAGCAAAGACAAATCTTGGCTGGGGGAAGACAGCACAGGTTCTTGTGTACACAACAAACAACCGCGAAGCACCACAGGCTCCTTCTCAGCCTCGCATCTCGCAGTCCGAGATCTTCAGCGATCGCATCACATTCACTTGGACACCTGGCCGGGATGGGTTTGCTCCTCTCAGGTTAGCCTGCACTTACATGGAGCTAAAGTATTTATGAAGAGTATGAAAAAGAAATTCATATTCTAAATTCCAATCTATGAATAATATCCTCTTCAAGATGTGTGTATCCAATATCTGAAAAACGTAAAAATTCATTTTAAACTATATTTTCAGTATCAAGTATTATGTGACATCAGATGTCACATGCTAGATTCAAGTGTGTGATGACCAGAAAAGACATAAGAGGGCCTTTTTGCTACTGAATATAATTAGGGGAGAGCTATGTGAATTCTAAAGCTTAGAAATATATATATGAGAGATGATGGAATATCAAAAGGCTGATAAAATAAATCTAAGAATGGAATGAACTTACATTTTTCGATTTTGCTTGCCTTTCAGATACTACACAGTGCAATATGCAGAAGGAAAGAGTGGTGGATGGCAGACAATCCCCCACAGGATTGACCCCATGCTCACCACATACACGGTAGACAGTCTGAAGCCTCACAAGGATTACCAGTTTCGCATCCAAGCAACCAATGACATTGGGCCCAGTGGCTGGAGTCCCTCATCGGAACTCACACGCACCCTCCCAGCTGGTAAGACATCAGAGCACCTAAGGTGATGCATCTGATGTCAACATCTTGCCTAATTATTATTTTTTAATCTCTCAGCCCCGAGCAAGACAGTAGGGGATATTAAGGTGATTCCGATTACACGGACATCAGTGAAGGTGAAATGGAGTCCATTGAGTGATGAGGCTTTCAATGGGGACACAGGGACTGGGGGGTATCGCATTCACTATCGACAGGTTACTGATTTCCCTTCAACACATAGTCTCCAACAGGAGGAAATATATGACATCCATGTGAGTCCCATCTTTATTGTCCTCATATTTTTTTCCCTCCTCCATTGCATGAGTACATAAGTGCATCCCTTGAAATGCATAGTTAAATTTAAAATCATATAGATGGCCTTCTTCAGCAATTTTTTGTTCCATTTTATAAACATTACTTATGTAATTTTGAGGTTATGTTAGTGCACCATGTAACAATGGTAGGCCTTGATCTCAAAGACAATTTTCCTCACCTGAATTGTTGCAGTCTTCGGAGGTGACCCTGCACGAGCTTCTAAGAGACCGCAACTATGAGATCCAGCTCCTGCCGTTCAACTCTCAAGGGGAAGGTCCAGCCAGCAAGCCTGTGGTGGTCTATGTAGGTGAGGCTGTTCCAACTGGGGAGCCAAGGACAGTGAAGACCAAGGCCATCAACGCCAACCAGGTTGCCCTCTCCTGGCTCCCTCCCAGGGAAAACCAGCAAAATGGAGATCTTCTTGGCTACAAGGTCTGTGTTATTTAGTGGAGATGCAGGAAACTGCTTGAAGATGAACCCTTACAGCTATTGAAAGAGAGTTTATACAGTGATTTTGGATTTTATTTTTATCCCTCCTAACTTTGAGATATATAGTTGTGATGTTAAGATAGCATGAGACCAGGGTGAGGCAGGGTAATTTGAACTACTTTTGGCATATTTTCAGGATTCCTGCATGAACACAATCTCTGAAAATTACATCTAGCTGTGAAGATTGTGTCATCAAGTCGTGTTTGAAAGCTAATCAAATTCAAAATTTCCTGCTCTCTTTCTTGTGATAGCTTATGTACAGTAATCAATATATAAGGGGAAACATGATGGAATGGTCAAAGAATATTCAGGCCTTTGTGATACTGCTAAGTTATCAGAAAAAATAAAAACAAGTGTTTGGTTCAGCTCATATATGCACATGTGCTCTTTTGGAATGCAGATCTTCTACCTGTCAGAAGATACAACAGCCGACCAAGAAGAGATGGAGGTGGTACCTGCTTCAACAACCACTCACACACTTTTATTCTTGGAGACATACACAACGTATGTCATCCAGATTGTGGCCTTCAATCCTGCTGGAGATGGGCCTCGATCTTATCCAGTCACTGTCAAAACCCTACAGGTTTGTATAGTTCCAGTGTTATTCTAAGAATTTAGAAAACTAATGCTATTTGGTGAATACTTTCAGTCAAGCTCAGTGCTGCTTGATGCTGATTACATGACTGATTAATTAATGAAACTTTAATCACATCATTGTTTCCTCACAGAGTAAGTAAATACTAGATCCTTCAAATGGAAATTTGATATCACCTCCAGTGTGCTGTCATTTCATTTGATTCCACCTGATTCCTCTTCATGTTGAATACATTTTGCATGATTTCATTACCTGCGATAACCCATAAATGATCATTTCAAGCTTTAGTGGTTTGTTGCAGTAGGTCTAAAAGTGACAACTTTTTGGCCATTCAGTCCATCATGTGAGAATTATTTAATTCCCAACAGGGATACCCGGGGGCACCAGGGGAGATGTTGTTCACAGACATCACAATGACGAGTGTGCGTGTGACCTGGAGTCCTCCTGAGGAGCCCAATGGAGAGATCCAGTATTACCTGGTTACATACAGGACAGCTGAGCCAGATGACAACTTCAGCAAGGAGGTGAAGCAGCGGGTGTCTGACACGCACCTCCTCGTCACTGACCTGGATGAGGAGATCACATACACGTTCTCTGTTCGTGCCTACACCATTGGCTTTGGACCACCGACAGAGGCTAATATCACGACTGGTAAGACACAACTTACCCATTTTTAGTAATAATGTAACATGTTAAAAAAGTCACTCAGCTCAGCTATATTTTCCATTGAATTGCTTCCTAATGATTTTCTAAGGCAATTTGCTCTCTGCTGACAGAGAGAACTCATAGCTGGTGTCTGGTAGTTTTTCCATATCTTTGTATCTAATTTCCAATTTCCTCAGAAAGAGTAAGAGTAAGTAAAGAATTGTTTTTGTTTTTCTCCAGCTGCTGTTTATTCGCTATGATTCCTTGCACTGGAGTAGGCCAAAGTCCATGCATTTTTGTTCTTGGAACCCAGGGAATTATTGGAAACAAGAACATGAAAGATTACAATTTTTTTTTTTCACCTGAGGTGGGAAGCTAAGTTGAATCACAAATGGAATGTACATGTAGTCAGTTGAGCATAAAGTTGTGCATACAGTCAGTATGATGATATCCCGAAATTCTATAAATCCCTCATTTTGCAGAAAAAGTAGTTCTCCTGAGGAGAGTCCCTGAATCTTTGCCTTTCCAGTTATTGGACTTGTTGTCTGCAGGTGAAAATAAGGAATGATAAGAGTCAGAAATGGGAAATTATTATTGCTTGGGTTTGTACATAGGACCCCAGTTGGGAAGTCCAGGGCCCCTGGAGGACCTGCAGGTTCGAGAGACCCTCTCTGCCTTCAGCCTGCATTGGAGCAATGGCAGGTCTGGTCGAGGACCTATCCTTGGCTATCTCATCCAGAGCATGAAGAAAGGTACACTTCTTCCCAATTTTGTCTTAGTGGTTGGCAAGGTACACATGCTTTCTCCTGTAGATGATTGAGAGAATGTTTCAGCCTCTTGATCATAATTTATAAATGGTTTCTGTGGTTACAAAAGTCTGGGGTCAAGTTCTTATGTGTGTAGACATGGAAGCCTAGTAATGAAAGTTGATCTGTAGAAATATAGGGACAGTATAAATGAAGGGGTGATGTGTTGCACTCCTACACCTCACTCCCCCATTGCAGTTATTGATTTTAGGAGCTCACTAAGGCAAACAATTTTAAGTTCCTGCAAGAGGTATGAAAACAGTCTTCTCTCAAAAAGATCATGGGTATGATCATTCTCACTTACTTTACTGACTTTATTCACTGTGCAAGCTCCTCAAAATTAGTAGAATATGGAGGAGAAATTTTGTCTTGCCCCAAACCTATCTCCCTGTCATTATATCAGTTGCTATTTAATGGTACATGCATACATACAGTGCTTAAAATTGCCAAAAGCATTTTCAAGTTATCTTGAGTGCATTTCAGAAGTACTCAGACTGCAGTTCTCAAGTCATGATTCATTCATCAGGCCATTAGTAAGCTCATTCATCAGTGAGAGACATTCTGGACATATAAATAGTATTTAACTATGATATGTATTTGATTGATGATTTAATTTGAGGTGGTTGTTCATTGAACTAAAAAAATGGATACTATACAAGGAATGAAGTTATCCAAAGCATGGTGTTATCCAAGATATCCAGGGTCCAAGGAAGTTTGACAAATTTGTTATTTCTTGACTAGATGAGAGGAAATGGGAGACAGTGACTAGGTCAAGTCAGGGACCAGCTGACTCATTTGCCATCCCATATGGGAACCTGCAACCATCAACTCTCTATTTCTTCCGGGTGATGGCTTACAATGCCTATGGCATCAGCTCTCCTGTGCAGACAGAGAAAGCCGTTGCCACACCAGCCAAAGCATATGGTTACACGGCCCAGCCCCCGTTCTATCGTCAGCCGCTCTTCCTTGTCATTTTGGCAGCAGCTGGGATTGTAGTAATCATTGCTGTGGTGGCAGTGCTTTGTGTCAAGAGCAAAAGCTACAAGTATAAAGGTGAGCTAGGGGGGGTAAAATGGTCAAGGTTGATTCTAGTGATCTTAAATACTTATTGTCTGACATGATTGCCATTAAAAAATAGTCTAATTGATCAATGTTGGGCCTAGTAAATTCAGCCTTGATAAAACTATGGAATTTCTTTCATGAAGTAAATTTAAAAAATTGTCTGCTAAGTACCAGGAATTAATCAAAGGTGGATACCTCACAACTCTCAAGAACCTCTTTTTTTTTTTCCTGAAATAGTTGTCAGGACATCATCCATCATGTCTGAATCCATGCAACAGAACACAATAAAATATACACTCTGCTTACAAATCTGCACTCTTATGATAATAAATCTTATTGTATTTATTTTCCTTCCTAGAAGAATCAACCAAGTCACAAGAGGAGACACTGAGCATGGATGAAGCTGAGACTGGCTTCATCCCTGTTCACCTGCGCAATTCAAGACGAAGTCTGTCCAAGAGAGCCTCGATTGTTCGTCGCTCTGGATTGTCCACCCCTGGAGCAATGGGGAAATCTCCCCCTCGACCCAGGCCTGCCTCTGTGACATACAGTGATGATGATAGTGTCAAGGGATATGATGAGAATCCTGATGACAGTGACTTGACTGAAAAACCTTCAGAAATCAGCTCCACTGATTCTCATTCTCAGGTTTGTTCTTGCTTCCCTCATCCTTTGCACCCTTTGCACCATAAAAGCATGCAGAGTAGGTGTACCTGTGATGTAATGCTAGTTTTTAAAATAATGCTCATACAAAAACAAATTGAGATTTAATTTCAATACAGTCAGAAAGGAATAGAATTGGACTGCACAAAATTGGATCAAATGGAATCTATGTGCAATATAAGGTAAGACCTATTCTCAGGATTACCTCCCAGGAATTCACTTTTTATTTTTAGTTGTGAATTTATGGACTTTTATCTATGCTAAATAGGCACCTAATGAAGACTGCAAAGCTTACCTATACATTGGGCCCTAGGTTTCTGACAAACCTGATTCCTTATTAGTGAGCAGTGTGTCCCACTCACATTGCTAGGATGCAGGGTGCAGGAATTTAAATCTGCTTTGTTTCAATTTTGCTCTCATTGCAGTTTTGGTTTTCACAGAACATAGAGAAAAATGCCCTTCCTACTCTTGCAAATTTCATACTGATGAGTAAAGAAGAAAGTGAAGCTTAAAAAAGATAAAAACTACTGTAAAAATAGAGTCTTGACAACATTTTTTTTGCAGAAGTGTCTTATGTCAAGGGGCTCTGCTTGACTTGATTTTGCTGCCTCTGGGAAAACTTGTAAACTGACATCCTGAGAAAAAAGGTTGTTTGATTTAAAAAAAACTTGAAACAAATGTGGGTGACTTAACTCTGCTTTGCTTTTGAACCCCTCAAATAATTTTTCTTGTGTAGATTTGTCTTTGTGCAGTGTGGGGGGATGAGGTTCACTCTCAACCTTCTTAGCTGTCAGATCACTATATATATTATGCCATTGTTCTTGTGATAATGTACTAAGGAGAGGGTAATTCCTATACATGCTGATCATACTTTTTATTTCTAAACTGGGATTAACTTCACACTGCAGAAAAATGGATTGTTTCATATTAAAATTTCAGGAAGTGAAATAAATGAAAACTTCAAACAAAAGACTGAGATCAATAAGAGAATCATATTGTCCTATGTTTTGGTCATCATTAAAGTTCAAGAAACTCATGTGTGAGCTCATGAACATGCTGCAGGGTTTGAAGTTTAGGTGAAGTCAAACTTGTGAAGCCTATGTAGCATTTGAGATGAGAAAAGAAGCTGAGTCACTTGACTTCCCTTATGAGTGTTATTTCCCCATAATTTGTGTTCTTCATATGAAGTACCCTTTCTGTTCCATGAAGAACAGAGCTTGCTGATGTGACTAGGACTATAAACCTCCTGACATCAAATGATGAAGTGCACAAAATTATGTGAAATCATTCAGTACACAATGGAAAGATAGATTAATTTATCTATCTCTTATGCCTCATCTGCTAGATAAGCTGTAGAAGTTTGACTTGGGCTAATTTTCATCAACACAATACCTTGCAACATTGTCAGAGATTGACAATAAAATTTCTTAAATGTGATTTGTAAGAAATTTAGGCTCAGTCTTATTGACCCCTCATTCATTGTGACCTGGAGTTGTATTAAAGACAGTAAGGAAATTACTTTTCATCTATCTTTGTATCCCTGAGAAGAAACAGTGCTATTGGTACTCATTTAGAGGTGGTTTTTTTATTTTCTACAGGCATCAGAGAGCGATGTGGACAGTGAACGATCGAACCCACACTCCTTTGTGAACCATTATGCAAATGTGAACGGGACGTTGCGGCAATCGTGGAAGAGGACGGCTCGGCCAGCTCCGACACCGATTCCGACCCATCTCCAGTCCAACATCCCTGCACCTGTGCCCCCCTCCCTCAGTCACCTCCCACTTCACCCTCCTCGAAATTACTCGAGTTACACAGACTCTGAGGCCGAAGGGAGTGCCATAGTTAGTCTCAATGGAGGCCAAATCATTATGAACAACATGGCTGGGTCTCGAGCACCCTTGCCTGGGTTCTCCTCCTTTGTGTGATGATAATTACTCTTCCTGGTATTTTTTACTGTACCAGGCAGTTGATTTTGATCTCCAATGTGATATCTGTAGGTTTAGGTTGTTCCTTTCTCAGCATCTGACTCTGTATGGTTTCCAATCTCTGCGCGTTCTTGCTCCATCTGAGTGTTCCTTTCCTCTCCTTGTCTGTCCATACAGAGTACAAAAACTCAAGAGATGCCTTCCCTTGCTCTCATGTGCCTTCTCTAACAGATGGTTGTTGTTTAGTGCATATCAGATGTTCACTGCCTGCTCAAGGACTCTCAGCTGACATTGTCTGACAGTTTTTTTTATATATAAATAAATGTGATTGATGTGTGTGAGACTTTGTTTTAATTTCTCAACATTTCATAACACATTTTTTAAACTGATTAAAAATGATAGCAACCTGTGAACTATACCATGACAAAAAATAAGAAAGTTGAGGAAGCAACGTGGGAAGAAAGTTTGTGCCAATTTTGACCCTTAAGGAAGAGACTCAAGAATGTCAAAATGCATAACAGTGACCAGTCATAGCTTATTGAATGGTGTTAAACGATAATTTAAAAAACACTGATACACTATACAGAATCTATTGCATGTCACATTTTATCATAAAGAAAAGTTCTCAAACTTTTCAGTTGTCTGCCTCCCTAATGACCAAGGCTTTGCATAGCACCCCCCCCCCCCATACCTTCTGCTTTATTTCAAAACAGGATATCTTTCCTTCCTTTGGGAATTCCCTGAATATAATGTGAATGACTAACCAAAGAAGACTGAATGCTGAAACCTTTAGTTAGCAGTTCTTTAATCCATGAACTCAAGGGGGGGGGGGGAAAGATCCTTAGCCTTAGGACCCCTTTATCTTTCTAAAATGAGGCTTCAGCTTTTTTGCCTAATTTTCTCCTGACATCTCAATAATTTTATCCTCCAGAAAAAAAGGCAATAGGAGGTTTGAAGTGCTGAAAGGAATAATTTATCTACAATAAATACTTGATAAACTGAGAGTTTTCCTCTTGCTTAAAACAAACTTGACACCCTGCTGTATTGCAGCATACCTACAGCAAAAAGAAAAATGATTGCCACAATTCAGATTTACAGCTAGCAACTGGGCAATCAAATCAAAGTGTAATGAGAACTATGAGGGTGCTTTTATGAGCAATAATGAGAATGATCAAATCTGGGCTTGATGGTAGAAACAATGGCACAAAGCCAGTTTTCATTATCCAGATGATCATTGATATTTCATCTTCATTGCAGCTCCTGCAGAGAACCAAGTTTCACTCTGATAAAAAGAGGCAAATGGGAGGTGAAATTTCAAAACCTGAAGGAGAACCACAAATAATCCTCTTCAATGCCAAGTCAAAAGTTAGGCAAAGATTTAACAGGAAAGAACCTAGATCTTGATACTGATTTTGTCTATCATTTGAAATTTTGCTCCACCTGTGGAACCAAGCTCTTCCAGGTCTCCCTGTTTTGTTTTCAACTATTTCTCCACAGAAAACTGGTGCACCAATGCACCAAGTTATAAGCTAGTTATAGCAAAATCAAAACTGAAATGTTGGCTCAAAGCAAGCGTAGAAGCTAAGTTGAAGGCTTTGAAGCTAAGTTGGCTAATGAAATGCAAGAGTGAGTTGAAAATCAAGTAGATGAATGGAACATTTGGTTTTCAATGCCTACATTAGGGAATTACCTTCATTTAGTGTTGTACTCCTAGAGAAGGAACAAGGAGGCCCTTGATCTTATATCCCAGGAAAAGAGCAGCAGATGAGCTCTTTGTCTGTTAAAGTTTCTATCCCTCCTTACATCTGCCTTGAGTGCCTTGACTTGGCTAAAAAGGTATGTAATAATTATCCAATAAATTGCAAGTTCAGGGTGCATATTAAAATTCATTTAAAGGAAGGACGAGGAAAAGTAAAAGTGCAGGCCCTGTCATATCCACCTCTGATATCCTTTCACACCCCCTACTTCAAGAACTGTTGCCTTTACTTTTGGCATCTATTCAACATGTTCTGGTCAGAACCTGCATCTGCTGAGGGAGGAAGTTTGGAACGTCTGGTCCAAAGGAATCTGGCCCGGTGCATCATCAGACTTTCCACCGATGGAGCACACATGGGCCATACTACAAGATTCTGTCCTCAAAGCTCCTCACCCCCAAAACAGGGAAGATTTGGTGACTTGACTCACCAAAAAGTGGAATTCAATCTTGCTGGCCACACTGGAAAACCTCATCGAATCTTTCCCCAGGAGGATCGAGGCTGCAGCTGCTGTTGGTGGTTGAACAACCAATTACTGAAACAAGTATGAGCAGTTGCTGTTTTGTTTGTTAAGTTTGTTAAGAATTATGTAAGTGCAGCTTGTCAAAAATGCATAGAGACTTTTGTGCCACCCTGTACATGATAGAATCTCTGTGCCTTGTTCATATGAATAAAAAAAGTTGCTACTTTCAGCATGTGCTTTATTCATTAAAATTGGAACTTTCATTGCTGATGCTAAAGTCATCACCTGGTTTCTGACAGTCCTCCAATCCTCATTTAACAGAAACACCATTTCATCCAAAATGCAGAAAGAAATATTGCTCCAAGGAGCACTTCTGAAACCTACAATGCATTGAATAAAGCTTTCAGGTCAGGATGACTGACCAACAAATTCATTTGAGGCTGAGAGAAGAAGCTCTTCAGCCACTTCTTAACATTTGCAGGGATCTCAGAAATGGCACAACTCTTCAGCAGCAAGGATGAGATGTAGATGTCGGCCAGAGTGATCTTGTCTCCAAGGAGAAACCCAGAACTTGTGCCAAGCCGACCATTCAGGGAGCGGAGATAGACCTGCTTTTCTTTAGCAGACCCCCAACAGAGGCCCATGTAGGCATCATCCATGAGATGGTCGATCAAAGTTGCCCTTTCAGGACTTTCCTTCTGTGGACTCAAATTGGGGATGATGTGAGCCAGGTAGGATACGATAGTAGGCTCAGACTCCACTGGGAACTGTTGTATCGGGCTCACAAGCATTCTTGTTCCACTTCCTGTGAAGTCAAGAGCAGCAAACTGTACAACAGTCTATTGGTACAGGTATGTATTTTTCTCATGCTACAAAAGTAGTAGAATTTCATCAGCAAATCGCAATAAAAATTTTGAAGGAGAACAATAGGGCTAATTTCTTTTATATTTCTTAAATGATGAATAAACAAAAACACTGCTGGACAAGATGACAGTGGCAAAAGGCTCACCTAATTTCCAAATAAGCATAATGGAGAGTTGAACTCCCATGCGGTGATCAGAGGGGTGGGGTAGGAGATTGTTGAGAGCCTTGACAAAGGGAGAATCTGGAAGACTGGAAACAGATGAATGCCTGTGAACAGAACAATGGACCTTGAAGTCCTTCTCCAGCAGGGGCAGCAGAGACAACAGCGAAAATGGAGGGTCCAATGGATCAGCCCACACAGTCACAACCAAGGGTGCCTGCAGCCAAGGGAGCAAATACATTTCAAAAAGTGATACATGGAAGGATTAAGTAGTGGCCCATAAAATGACAGCTCCTACCCCCTCAACGGCAACATCCACAATTGGTTTGGGGAAGCCAATTACAGGGTTCAAATCTGGGTGCATTTCTTCATCTAAAATACATTAGTGATAGTTTATTTGTTGGTGGTAATAAAAACAGACAATGGACAATTTGCATTCATGTGGGAATTTTCTGAGTGGTACAAAATGCTGGGGCTGTATTCTGTTTTCTGCTCCCTCTTGAGAGTCCTGATGAGCAATAATTCCCCACCAGTTGTATTCTACTTGAGATGAAAATCATGAAAATGGCATATATTGAAATATGTCTAGATAACTCTGAATTTAGTAAGATATTCATTCTGGACCTTGCATATTTCACATCTGCTCAGTTTCATCTGTGGAAAGGGGAGGAGAATCATTTTATGGGACAATATAGGCCGAAAATACTATATTTATGACTCACTTGTCCTAATTCTAATTTTATGACATTCCCTGTCCTGCCTGCAGTCTTGATATTGACAGGGACCTTAGCAGTCACTTTCTGCACTCTGTCCTGGAGTTCCTTTATGCTTGATAGAATCTTTTCTTGACGTTCCAGGAGAGCCTCGATCTCTCCATCATCTTTTTTCTGTACCATATGAGCAAGAATTGCAGAGAAATGCTCAGTTCAACATTGACTTTGGTTATAGAGGTATGCCAAACAGTCATCAACTCCAAAGTCAGGCCGAAGATATTGCACTCACTGCTGGGACATCTTTGCCTTGTCCTTTGCCCTTATTCTTGTTAGGGGTAGACCGAGTCGGCACAGGATTTTCGTCGATTGCCATCTCGCCCGACACTGTAGTCACAGGACCATGGGTCACGATCGGCTTCAGTGAATACATGACCTTAGGGAGCTCGATCGGACTTAGATTCACGATGGGTTTCAGAGAGTACATTTGCCGACAGTGAGTCCCCATTTCCTGATATATGAACACCCTGATAATATTTATTTACCTGGAGGAAGACCTGACCTTCAGCTTTCCAATGACGTCCGATCGCGAGACTCCTTAAACTAGCATGTGGCAAGTTGCGGTAGAGGCAGCGGCCATTTTATATGGTAGAGGAGTGCGGACGTTGAAACATAACGTCAGTCGGCGATCAAATTTTATACTCCAATTGCACAAAAAGGAAGGAATCGCGAGTGAAAATTGCTTTCTTTCTTTATTTTCGGAAAAATGATAATGACAGGACTGAAACAACGATTGAGTAGGCTCCGGCAAGAAAATTGCTTGATGCGAAGCTCGGACATCTCTATATTAGTTGGTGCGTCTGCGTCTCTGTTCAATCTGAAGGCACCTAGACCCGCGAAAGATTAAGCTTTGCCAAATGTCTCTTTCAGTCGGCATTCTTTACGTGGCGGGTTCCGAGAGTTAATACTTGGGCTGCGGATAATGTAAGCTCCAAGAATATTTCAAGCTAAACCAAGTTTGATTTCGCTTAACAGCATAACTTGCATGTCATGGGTTAGGTTAGGCCTATGACTAATTAATTTTTTATTGTATTAACCGTCCCGTCATTCCCCAATTGATGGAATTGGACGTACCACGGCAATATCAGATATGGTGTAAGACAGACTAGATTAGGAAAAAAAGTTTCTAGTCTGACATCAGTTTGAGGACTCCCAAAAGAATATCCACCTTGATACATGTTTGCCTCATTGTGGAGGGCTTTAGTATTAGTTCCACTATTTTCATAGCTATCTGAAAGACCTTGCCTTTTGAAACTTTGTTCATAGATAACTTTCGTTTGTTGGGTTAAAATTGTTTTCCTTGATAGGTATTGCCTAAGTCAGTCTGTTTTGTAGCTGTGAGGTAGGGTGGCCAGGTTTTTTTTTTCAGGAAAAACTAGGACATTTTCAAGAAATTGCCCAAATTTTAGTCCTTTCAATGTGGAAAAGCTAGAACATCAGAATTGAAATGAAAATTAAAACTGGGCCCTAGTCTGAAAAACCAGAATGTCTGGTCACCCTACTATCAGGTTAAGTGGTGATGACTACCATGTTTGTTGCTTGGCAGCAATGGGATAGTTCATCTTGTTACTCTCTAGTTCTTGATATGCAAGTGGGTCTTGGCAAAGAGATCGTTGACTGACAGTATTTTCTAAGTAGAAAATACTTTGTAAATGATCTGTGGGGCAAGTAATTCAGAAGTTGTATAGTCTTGCCCTATAGCTCTCATGTGTTAAGTAGAGATTTTCTTCAAATACTTTGGGTTTTTTTACTCTTTAATTTATTCTGCTGTACAGTCATGCACAGCTATAGTGATGTTGCTTTCATTGGTGATTCTTAATTCATCACCATTCACTAAATTGTGGGCTCTTTTGAGATTTGCAGAACTATGTAATTGTTCTTTTGGTAACTCAAAGTAGGTTTATCACTACAGAACCTTTGGAAGTTTTGTGGATTAATTGAAATGCTTGGACAAATTGCTTTTGGAGTTTTCTAATAGAATGAAAATCTTGTATCTTTTAGGCTATAGCTTCATGTCTTCCTCTATTACAGCTATATTGCTATCATTTCTGTGATGGACAAAATATCCCAAAGAAAGTCCAGCTAAAGTTTCTCCCCTTTTCAACTGCTTGCCATTTGAAAGCAATTTAAAATGAATAATTAATACCCCCAATTGAAGTTACAGAGACAAGGCCATAAATAGGGCACATGTGAAATTTCTCTTGGGATAAGAGCATGTAACAGTCACTTACTTTAGCTCTGTGAGCTAATCCCAGTGACTGTCCCATGTCAGAGTGCTCATATGAGGTATGCCTAAGCCAAGAATAGGGCACCTAGGATTAGATGTGATGCAGTTCCATAAGTATGTTATTTACTGCAAACTTGGACTAGACTTGGCATATGGAACATCAATTTCATAAAATGTTGCTTTGGACAAACCTTTATGCAACAGAGTATGGAGAAGCTTCGCAAGTCCTTGGAAGCACTGGAAAAGAGAGACTCAAATGATCTGCCAGAGTTATATCCGGAGCTTGTTGCAAAGACAGTTGGCCTAAAGAAAACTCAAGAAGCTTGGGCCAAATATCATAAGTTATACCAACGACACCTTGATGCCTGTGATGAGGAGGCAAAGGATGAAGAAGGTGAGAAAGTCTAAGACATATACAAGGTTGTTTTTAAAAAAATGTTTCCACTAACTGGGAATAAGCAACATAAGTTTGGAATTTCATATACTTTAATACCAAGTTTTAGATACAGAATTAAATTGTATCCATTAATGTACTTTTAAGCAAGAACATAATCATGAACACAATGACATTGTAATTGGATTTGAAAATCCCTTTACAATACTTTCCTATTTTAGGGGTAACCTATTTTTTTGGGCCACCCTGTGTATATGGTAATAAGTCTTTTAAAATGTTAGGTATGTGTGTAAACGTTAGTCATCAGGTGAACCATGGGATAATAGGTGTGGACAAAGGTACCAATGAGCACTTAGTTACATGGCTGGAGAAAAATGTATGAGAATTTTAGGGCATTTCAGGGATATGAAGAAGCTGTTGCAAAAATGAATATTTCAGGTTATACTTATCGCATGATTCTTGAAAAGGGGTGTTTTTTATTGTTTTTTTTACCTCATCTGGTATTGGATGATTTTCATTTATTTGGTGTATTTTGTAGAGCAGCTATATTCATTTCTGTGAACTTTCATGATAGAATTGGGATCTTGTTTTTGCCTACTGAGAGAAGGTGTTTCACACCTATGTTTTAGCAATTTGTGCCTTGCAATTTGCATGCTTATACTGCTTTCAACTAACTGGGCTGCTTTTCTGTCCCTTTTTTTGCAGGATTAGCATAGACAGAAGCTATGATCTATGTTTAGGCTTCATTGATCCATTGGTTTGTGCCATTTTTTTCATCTGCCTGTTACTTGCATTCACCAATTCTGGAAAACCTTAAACTCTACATCCCTACTTCATGTTTTCTCACTTTGATAAAGTTTCCAGTTTGGTTTATTTTCTCAACTAGGAGAAACATAGAATATGCTTAGGGGTTGAGGCCTTTTAGGCAAATTGGCATTTTGATAATTGTGTGTATAGGCCTACTGACACCCTAAATAAGCATTTTTATGGGATGAGAGTATATATTATCTCTCATGCTGTCTCTTTATTCTGCCTTAGAGAAGGCAGTGGTCGATGCAAAGCATGTCGAGGCAGAGAGAGAGAAGGACGACACCAAGAAGAATCTGGAACTCCTAAGGCAACAGTTGGAGGACTTGGAGTTGAAAGAAGTATGTGTTCTTCAGCTTTAATGGTCTACTACAAGGACAAGACCATCTAATAAGAAGTCATGAAGATGCACTTCATGCTTGAATGGTCTTGAAGCTAATTTATCCTAATTTCTATTTCTCAGGAAAAGGAGAGAAAAGCCAAGACTGAATTGAAAGAATGGCTGAAGCAGTGTAAGAGTGAGGACTCTTCTGTGAAGGCAAGGAAAGAAAAAATATCTTCTGGAGCTAAGGAAGCAGCAGAAACGCGGTTTGTTTCTTAGAATTTTTCATGCTTTCATGCTCTTGTTTTTAACCTGAGGTGCTTAGTTTCCATAAGGCACCAGTGCTCTGCAAGGGCTGATTTGAAGCATTGAAACCACCTTTGATAGTTTGTACAATGAACTTTTGCATGGTTCATCTGAAGCCAGTCACAGAAGTAGTCCTGGCAATTTATTGGATGTTTCCTGATTTCTGCACCCTGCACTCCATGACTCCCAAAAGCTTCCCTCTATTTCATTTTGTCATTTTCTAATTTTGATGCCTTGAAAAAGTAAAAAAAAGTGAGCATTAAATCTACTACTACTCCCATTGGAAACTTCCTCAAGACTGCTTCATACTACCTCACATCTGACTGAATTCTGATTCTCAGTTGCACTTAGCACCCATCTGTATTTTTCCAATATTCCTTAGTCTTATTTTTTAATTATGGTTCTATGACAGGGCTCTATGCTAAACTCTTTCCTGTGAATAGGAAATGTAGGCTCATTTTTTATGAGGCTGGTCTGCAAAGTAGAATGATTTAAAATTTGCATGTTGAGCATGACAGAGCCATTTCATGAAGTTGCTTCATTCAGGAACGTTTGAGTTACCATGGGGATTGACTGAGAATGTATTTAAGTTTCTGTGTATTGTAAATCATACAGATCAGGGTGTAGCATCACCTTTCCATCTTTACTCACTGAAGAATCTGTCTCTTTCAGACAACTTGCAGAATTTGTGAAGAGCATATTGCCCATACGGTTTCAAGATGGGCAACAATCTGGAGTTTTCAAAGGCTGTATCCTTTTCTGTCTTAGATTATAACTTTAATGCTGGTCCATAATCTTTTATAGATATAGAAAAATTTCGTGATTTTATTTATTTTAGCACTGAGGTTGTTACACAGTTATACTTATTTCAGGATGTTGAGCCCTCAAAATTTCCATATTTTCTCTCCTGCCATCACTAGCTTACTTGCCTTTCCCATGATTAAACTGTCTCCTCCCAATAAGAAATTAAGAATTATATATAGTGTTTGAGAGGATCAAGACAAAAGATTTGCATGGGCACGATTTCACAGTACAGGGTTTTAAGGAGGAGTCCTAATGACATTTTTGTGGTCAAGGAATTCTGGAGGATATTGTTAGCTGAGAGTTTATTCACCTTTAGGCAATGAAGTGCAGGAATATGAAAATATCAGAATTATACATAAGTCATTTCAAGGGACTGGCATTGTTAGCAAGATTTGTTCAGATCCTGGTAGTTGTAATTGAAGCTGTACCTGTTGGATTGGCAATGATATTGGCTGAGGAAGTGTTAGCATCTCTTGCTGAGCACTGTAGAACATTTAGTTGCCCTTCACATGATCTACTACATATTCCACATGGGCATACTGTAAAGGGATTGTGATATTTCTTTGACTTGCAGAGAAGGAAGTGAAATTGCTCATGTTGAGTTGCATAGAATTGGCTGGAAGACTAAAAGCTACTTCTCCAATCAGTTGAGAGTGTTCTTACCTGTACCCTTGATTCTTTGACAACAATGAAACAGTCATCATTCAGCACGATGAGAAACAGAGGCCCAAGAAGGCTGTTCCATTCCATTTGGACAGCCATGACAATTCCAAAGACTACATCCAGAACTACCTATGGCAACAAGCAGAATCTGCCCATAATAGTGGTGTGGACTGGAGTGATGTGTTCTCAGAACCATAGCCAGGATTACAGGCAAGCATGGAACATTCTACAGTATCCCATGTGAAATTCTATGGTTCAAGATGTTATGTTTATATTTTCTTATGTTCTTTCACTCAACTTTGTACGACAAAAAGAAAATTGTAATGTTCACATAGATCTTCCATTAAAATGTTAATGGGCAACTGGACTGGAATACTGATTGAGAGTAAAACAAGAATAGGAACTTTTGACAAAAGCAGGCTGAAATCCGCCTGAAGCTTGCTTGTTAACACATTTGCCATTTTTATCCTGAGTGTTGAGTCCAAGTGTGCTCAAAATAAATTGTGTTTTCTCACAGCTGGTGTTATTTGTCTCCACCTCTAGAGTAATTGATCGGCTACAGCTCTTTTTTATCATTGCAAAAGTCTGATTGGTTTTGTTTTCTGATGTTGGTATCCTTCAATGCTCTAACTCCAAAATATACTATTCCAAAAGCAACTGAGAATTTGCATATTCCCAGCTGGGAAAGAAAGTCGTCAGCCCCATTCGAAGCAGAGCTATCCATGGCCCTCCTCTGATTGAATTTGTATCCTAGCAAGAAGGGGAATAAGACAGGATCATTGGGAATGTGTGTGATAGGAGCCAAGAAGGTACAGTTACTTGTGGTTTTCATCTGACCAGGTCTGGAAGTCTCGCTGCTTGTTAATTATTGGCGATCGAAGAGATAAAGGAATTATAACGATGCACAGTTGACATGCTGCATGTCAAAGTTCGACGAGTCAATCGATCATTGAATCGTGAGAGCCTTGCACGATATGCAGTCTTCATTCTAGGCTGGCGTTGAAGTCATTGTAGCTCGGTATAATCGCAACTTCCTTCAACACACCGGTCGAAAGGAATGATTCTTCCCTGTTCCCCGCAACGCAACGGGATCCTTCAAAAGGGATACGATGAGAAAGCGAACGAGAATGACTGCAATGATGTCATGAGGCTCGTTATCTGCGATAGTGGCCCCTCTTCTCTTGCCCCAATTCAAAGCTGTCGAGAGTTCTGGATCATTTGGCATCACGACAGAATTCTACATTGGTGCATAACTGCATTCACATTCTTTTTCACCAACCTACCATGACTTATAAAAAAGGTATGGAGCTGAAAATGTAAAGCTAAGGAGCTCTTTTACTTTCATAGGAGTCTATGTATACTTAAAGGACCGTTAGCTAAAGGACCTTTCAGCATTCGGAACAATGGAGTTGCTACTCCATTGTTCTGCCCATTAATGAATTTTCTACCTGCATTGCAAGAGCTACGCTAGAATGAATTTCTGTTCGACACCCAGCAACAGCACTGCTTTCTTTGACGGTAAAAGGATTTTGAAACCTGGAAAATACTCGAGAATAGCGTGGTCGGTCCGAGGACTGCGAATTCTAATCGTGCACCTTCCTTGGCACTTTTCAAGTCCATTTGTCAATTTGCAGTTACAGACAGCAAGGATGCAGGTCGACTAGTGGCAGCCCCAGTCCCTACTGCCGACTCGATCGTTACTGGCTCCGTCTCCAAAATGGGCATGCCCAGCAGGAGTTATAGGGAGGAGGTCAACCAGCTACTCTGCTTGGTTTACGCAGAGCTGGTGAGAAATCTGGGTAGGGCTGTAGATCCTTACGCATGAGCCTGAACCTCTACGCATGAACCCTTTATTCCTTGTGGAGCCGAGACAGGCGAGTTCCAGACAGCCAAGTTCGGGGAAAAGCTGCAGGACGGAAAATGCCACCCGCGTTGGAGGTGGCATTGCCACGACAGAATCACAGCTCAATTTGGCACCGGCAAAACCAGCAGGGCCGTAAACAGCTTCGGCTGAGGGGGTCGTAATGGTGCAGGACAACCGGACTCGGCCACAAGGTGAATGGAACTTGAGAGCCGGTAACAGACAGGTCGGGCTGGGACAGGATTGAGTGCCATGCCATCAGTGGCGTAGCGTGGTTGGCATGGGCCCTGGTGCAAGGAATGAAATGGGGCTCGTTCAATTTCTTACTATTGAATTATGTGGGAGTCATAACTTTTTTGCTAGTTTTCTCCGGCAGCATATAAATCGTGGTCGGTAGCTGAATTCAGTGTGGAAGGCAGTGGCGCAGGGGTTCTCAAACTGGGGAGGGGGGGGGGGGGGGGGCACGAGAGGTCATGGGAGTTTCTTTTTCATCTATCCATTTTTTCTTTTACTGGAAAAAGGTTACATTCCTTCAGCTGTTAATAATAAATTAAAGCAATTCAAGGGGGCGGACTTATATATAAATTCGATTCCTTTTTCAAGGGGTGTACATTTCTGTCGGCTATTTCCTACGATTCGAATGAAGGTAACAAATGAATCGGCGGTCCCTTTGGGCTGTAACTTGAATGCTCGAGCCCCCCCTTAATCCAGCCATGGGTGAATGGTATAGGAAGTGGCCACCACTTCCTTTGACCACACGAAGCGGCGTGTTGCGAATGTCTCTGTGCAGTGTCCCGTTGAATGCCTTTGATTCCTTTTGACCTTCGTTTTCAGCTACTGGGTTTCACCTCTTCCTGATGCCAAGGGGCTCCCAGCTAACGCCTACCCCCCTCTTCGTAGCTCGGCGTCTGGGCCCCTCTGGCCCGTGGGCCCCGGTGCAGCCGCACCGCCTGCACATTCGGAAGCTACGCCACTGCATGCCATCGTGCGTAATGCCTAGGTATATGATCGATCTCGTCTTCCTTGTCGATTGCACTTTTAATTAATTTGAAATTAGGAGATTCAAACCACAGAAGGACTTCAGTACCGGAAAAAGGTATATATATTCATTTCATTGCCATATGAAATTCAAGGTATGGTCAATCGTCACGAAAAAATATGAAGACGGATGTGTTGAAGTTGACTCATCAGCATTTGCCTTCATGGCGGATTTGAAGCCTGGAGTTCTTGCATTTGGCCACTTCGTAGGCACACTTGTTCGGGTACGTTTGGGAGTCACTGGCACAGATCGGACTGTATTCCAGCGTGCAGATTCTGTCGCATGGACCTACGGAGGAAAGCAGGGGAAAGGTCCGCGGATTATTAACTTTTAGTATTGATTAATTTTACTTATTTCTTTTGAAGTAGGTTTTGAAGTGCCACGTCCGTCCGAGACTGGAATCAAAGCACTCAGTCTAGACTTTTCACCTATGCGAGACGTAGAACTTTGATTTTTTTTTTTTTAAAGGAACAGCAGAAACGCAGAAGAGACAATTGAATCTCCTTCCGGGTATCTTCTCAGAACGTTTTCTCTAACCTGCAATACCCATTTCGCATCGCTGAAAACCGTGGTTCGAACGGTTTTTAGTACTATTCCCCTCCATATTCTGCTCGAAAGACAATGACAAGGGAAATAATAATAAATAAAAAAAAGCTAGTTATCGGTCAGGTTATCTTAGGCAAATTTTTTGATGAGAGAATTTCATGAAAGCGACGTTGCCAAATCTTGCGTTCTCCAGGTTAAACTGCTCGACAAATAAGTGTAGAAAACATTACTAGTTCCCGTGAATGTTTGGAACAAGATCCATCCATTAAATCCATACTTCCCGCGGAGATAAAAAACGAAAGAACTGGAAAAAGACTAAATCTCATCTAAAGGATCGAAGAGGAAACGGGCATTATTGTCGGGTCGATATCGTGCGACCGACATCGCTTAAGGAGTTCCTTTGCTTCAGGATTTATTCAAGTATGAAGATGTGAGACTTCTTGTTTCTATCCCCTAAAATGACACTAATGGATCCAATCTATATTGTCGGTTCAGGCCAAAAGCTTCCAGTAAGCTTTGTATGGATCTCTTTCGCTTCTCCCTCGGGCAATTCGTACTTTAAAGGACCTCCAATTCAAATCACCGAAAATGATCCAATTACCTGATGGTAATTAAACATTTAAAAATGTAACTTGTACAGATGGAACGAACACCGCCGGTTTGCCAGAAACATCAGGAAACAGTACGTATGACTTCAATTACGTTTGTTCCAATTGTTACATGTTAACTTTCCCAGCAGGACGTTATCGAGCGACCGGTGACAGTGCACTGAAATGGAGAGAAAAGGAGGAATTACCACTTCCGGGTGGTCCATTATTCCCGTTTCCGGGGGGACTCGGGCCTTCTCCGTTGCGGCAAGGCCCTTCGTGTCGGACGACCAGCCTGTTTCCGCGTTTGCAGTTCTCCGCTTGAAAGTTACAGTTGTTGGCATAGGTAACACCGTCGGATCCACAGACTGGATTATAGTCTGCCGTGCAGATTTCGGGGCACCTCCCTGCGAACAAGAAAAGGTTCCTATGGACACCTGAACAAAACACAGGGACCTGTTCTTCGCCTCTGCGGACACAAGACTAAATCTAGTTGAAAGATATGTTAATCTGAACCAAAGCTGTATCTAAATTAAAGTTAGTGGATTATTTAAGCACCCTTATTCCTTACCTCTCCTTGAGAGACTGCTAAACAGCAGTCTCGATCGACCTATTGCTATTAAATTTCTTGAATATTTGATCAAGGTAGTTTAGAGGTATCAAGAGGCGATAACACTGTTTCGGATATCACGTGTCGACGTCGATCGTTCTTCTTTCAATTTTAAATGTAGGCCTACTCTTAAAGCTAAATATTTTTGTATTTTTTGTGATTATTTTTTAGCGTATCCTAGTTGCTTGCTCCCTAGTCCCATAAGTCAACATTGCCCTCCTTTTTGCTTTGTCCATGAAAGCATCTAGTCTCTTCTTAAACAGTAGTCCAGCACCCTACAAGTAAAGAAGTCCTGTCTCGAACTGAGCCACACCTGCGGTTTACGCAACTCGGGTCGATTACCTCTCGTTCTCTTGCTGCTATCGTACTGGAAGACCCTACCTCGCTCGACATCATCTATTCCTTTAATTATGTTGAAAGCCTGGATGAGATCGACCCTCCTTAACCTTCTCTTTCTCTCTCGTACAGTCGCAGGAATTGTAAACGCTTCTCGTACGGAAGTCCCCTTACCTCCTTTATCATTCTTGTGGCCCTCCTCTGTACACCCTCGCGTGCCAACAATTCACCCCCATTTGTAGGCATCCATAACTGGATGCAATATTTCAACTGGAGTCTTTCCAGCGCCGCATACAACGGAAGAAAAACGCGTGATTTCCTACTTGCAACCGAACGACGAATGAATCCTAGCATCCTGTTACATTTAGCCACCGTCGCTTGCGCGTGCGAGGAAAACTTGGTCTCCGTCGATAAAAACTCCTAGATCTTCTCTCCGTTTGCCTCCTCCAGTTTATCCTCTCCAAACGAGGCGAGAGGCCTACCGTTATTACGACCTACGTGGAGTACTTTACTTTAATTTTTTATTAAACCTCATGAACCATTACTTGCTCCACTCATCCGAAAGACTCAATCTCGCTCGCCTCTAGCCCTATCCGCCTCTCCCCTGACAGGAAAAACCATTTTCGTGTCGTCGGTGAATGGTTCCAAAGAGAACCACCGAAGTGATCGCTGAGGAAGCTCTGTCGGCAAGCACACCATTCATTTCGTTAAACTCGTCGTGTTTCTTTCGGCATCGATCTAGATCGATGCCTCGATCCTCGATCGATAACTTCCACATTCCGTTCGCTGGTACGACGCGACTCGAAGTGCAGCCGCATGGACGAATTCATGCGACGCCTTCGCAGAAGTCACGCCAGGCATGCTCGAGAATCGCTTTTCACTGCCGAAGGCTGCGCAAGTGCAGCCAAAATAACAGGACGTATTCGAATTTGCGATAACTCTTGTTTGTGTTTTTGTTACATTCAAACTGGTGTTCGTTTTCTCTCGTGAAAGACGGGAAAAAGTGTAAAAAAAAAGCGCCATCTACCATATCTGTATTCATACTGTATGAATCGATTAAGTTCAGAGTGCGCATAACATGGGAAACCCTGCTCTTTCGAATGAGACATAGCCGAAATGCTGTGAAAGTGCTGTGAAAAAAAGTTATTCGAAAAACAAATCCGGGCTTTATACAGAAACATCGTGTATATTGTTGGTTCAGACCAAAACCCTTCCAGTAAGCATTTTATGCATCTCTTTTGCCTCTCCCTCGGTCAATCCGTACTTCGAAGGTCTTCCGATTCAAATTACCGAAAAAGATCAAAGGGTAACCTGAGGGTAATATAAAAATGTAAAAGTCACTTGTACAGAAGGAACGAATGCCGCCGGTTTGCCAGAATCATCAGGAAACAGTGTATGAATGACATCAATTACATTTGTTCCAATTGTTACATTGTTAACCTTCCCGACAGGACGTTATCGAGCGACCTTTGCCATTAGCGGTAGTGGACCCAGATGAAGAGAAAAATAAGAATTACCGTTTCCGGGGGGATTTGGACTTTCCCCGTTGCGGCAAGGCCCCTCATGTCGGACGAACAGCCTGTTTCCGCGCTTGCAGTTCTCCGCTTGAAAATTACAGTTGTTGGCATAGGTTACCCCGTCGGATCCACAGACTGGATTATAGTCTGCCGTGCAGATCTGGGGGCACCTCCCTGCGAACAAAAAAAAAGATATGAACACCTGGACAAAACACAGCCTCTGCGGACACATGACTGAATCTAGTTGATTAAGCTATGTTAATCTGAACTAAAGCTGTATTGTGTTAAAGTTGGTGTATTAGTTAAGCAAGTTAAACAAGCTCACCTATTTCTTACCTCTCCTTGAGAGACTGCTAAACAGCAGTCTTGATTTAGTTATTGCTATTAGATTTCTATAATATTTAATCAAAGCTATCAAGGTAGTTTAGTAGTATCAAGAGTAGATGACACCCCTTTGGATGCCACGTTTTGACATCGATCGTTCCTTAATTTTATGGTAGCCCTACTCCTCTTAAAGCTAAATATTTTTGTATTTTGTGATTTTTCTTTAGCATATCCTAGTTTCTTACTTCCAAGTCCCTTAAGTCAACATTGCCCCCCTTTTTGCTTTGTCCATGAAAGCATCTAGTTTCTTCTTTAAAATAGTCAGGGAGTGGGGAAGCCACTACATCGTCCTCTAACGCATTCCACGCGTTCACCACTCTACAAGTAAAAAAGTCCTGTTCCAACCTGAGCCGCACCAGCGGTTTGCGCAACTTGAATTGATTACCTCTCGTTCTCTTGCTGCCATCGAACTGGAAGAACCTACCACACTCGACATGATCTATTCCTTTAATTATGTTGAAAGCCTGGATGAGATCGCCCCTCCTTAACCTCTCTCTCTCGTACAGTCCCAACACTTCTAAACGCTTCTCATACGGAAGTCCCCTTACCTCCTTCATCGTTGTGACCCTCCTCTGTACCCCCTCGTGCGCCAACAATTCCATTTGTAGGCATCCAAAATTAGATGCAATATTTCAACTGGGGTCTTACCAGCGCCGCATACAACGGAAGAAAAACGCGTGATTTCCTACTTGCAACCGAACGACGAATGAATCCTAGCATCCTGTTACATTTACAGTAGCCACCGTCGCTGGCGCGTGCGGACTTCGTCGATAGAAGCTCCTAGATCTTCTCTTCGTTTGCCTCCCCCAGTTTATCCTCTCCAAACGAGGCGAGAGACCTACCGTTATTACGACCGACGTGGAGATCTTTACATTCGTTTTTATTAAACCTCATGAGCCATTTCTTGCTCCACTCATCCAAAAGCCTCAAATCTCGCTTGGCCTCCCCCCCTTACAGAAAAACCTATTTTCGTGTTGTCGGCAAATGGTTCCATAGAGAACTACCTATGAAGGTTGCATGTAACACCTTTACAAAAGGTGTCGCTTTCGTGAATATGGATAACATTCCACACAGAACCATCATTCAATGCAGCACACCATTCGGCAAAAACAACGTTGTCAACCCTTAGGAAAGGTTGGTTTCTGAACGTTTTGGCATTACAATACCTCCTCCACTTTCTGGGTCTGAACGAGCGCTAATAACGATTAGGTGACAAGATAGCTTATATATTTGATTGATATTACTTTATTAAGTAATATCATATCTTGGAGGGTTCCTTCCAAAGGGCCAACGAGGGATCTCAGGGATTTGATAGAATTCTATCGAGTACTAACGTCCCGGGGGTGTCCCGCAGCGGTTGCATTTTCTTAACAAGATCAGAATTAGAGTTGAGTACTTGAGTGACAACTCTTTCTGCCCAGCAAAGGAATTACACGTCTAGCTACATCCCCAGATTTATTTCAATTTGGGAGAGGAGCCAGACATATCACCGCATGTTAATTTCCCCGCTCCATCTTTCTCGAATGAGGCACATAAACTTGAGTTCTGATAAGCGCCATGTAGAGACTTAGGAAAATTGAGTATGTCCCCTCGGACCCCCTGGTCGGTAGTATTTGGAGTACTTCCCTCAAGTTCTGCGAGGGAAAAGATCGGGTACTGGGTGGAAAAATACAGGGGATTCATTCCAATGGCACTAACTTGAGAATAGCAAATTTGGCACTCAGACGCTTGCGATCTTGCGCCGATTGGCTAAACCTTATCTTATCTTATCTTAAAAAAGAAAGGGAGTGACGAGGCCGGGGGGTTATGAGTGAATGGCGAAAATAATACCTATGTATCAAGCCCTGAAGGGATCCTTTAAAAGAACCACTTTGTACCTAGAACCAATGGCCAGTTCCAGAGGTTCTACAAGAGCGATGGTGTTTCATATGGTTCTACATCTGTGCTGGAACCAATTCATATTGTTCAACAGTACCTGGAACCTTTTTAAGAGTGTAGAACCATTGAAGATTTCCATCCTGAACCATTACTTTTTACAGTGTATATCAAAATCGTTTATATAGACCAAAAACAGAACCGGTCCCAGGACATCGCCCTATGTCGACGCTTCCCCATTTACCATTGATGGTGTATACATGTCGATGTAGCTCGTGCGAGTTTACGCTCGATTTCAGTTCAGAGTGTTTCTGTATAAAGCCTGGATTTCTTTTTCGAATATCTATTTTTATACAGCATCTTTTCATTTCGTTGATGTCTCATTCGAAAAAGCAGGGTTTCCATTTTATGGGCACTTTAAACTTAATCGACCGATACAGTAATCACTGAGAAAGCTCTGCTTGCAAGCACACCTTTCATTTCGTTATGCGCCTCTGCGACACAGCCCACTCGACCACATCGACAGTCTTGTTTCGTTGCTCGTTTGTAGTTAAACTTGTGTTGCTTTCGGCATCGATCTAGAACTGCCTCAATCCTCGATCGATAACCTCCACATTCCGATTGCTGGTACGACGCGACTCGGAGTGCAGCCGCCTGGAGGGGCTCATGCGACGCCTTCGGTCACGCTAGGTATGCTCGAGTAAACCATAGCTTTCCACTGCCTGAGGCTGCGCCGGTGCGGCCAAAATAACGGAGGATGGGTTCAACTTTGCAATGATTAACTTTTGTTTGCTTTTTTGTTCCATCCAAACTCAAAGTGTTCGTTTTTTCTGGAAAAAGACAGGAAAAAAGTCATTTACTCTATCTACCGTATCCATACTGTATGAATCTATAAAAATTTCAAAGTTTTTATGAAATGGGAAACCCTGCTCTTTCGAATGAGACAAACGAAATGAAACGGTGCTGGAAATAAAAATATTCGAAAAACAAATACAGGCTTTAGACAGAAACACCATGTACATTGTCGGTTAAGACCAAACCCTTCCAGTAAGCTTTTCATGGATCTCATTTGCTTCTCCCTCGGGCAACCAGTACTGCGAAGGGCTTCAGATTAAAATTACCGAATATGATCGTATCGAATGATAGTAATCTGATGGTAATTTAAACAATAAAAGTCACTTGTACAGAAAGAACGAACAAAGCCTTTTGGCCAGAAACATCAGGAAACATTGCATGCATGACATCAATTACATTTGTTCCCATTGTTACATTGTTAACCTTCCCGACAGGACGTCATCGAGCGAGCTTTACCATTAGCGGCAGTGGACCGAGATGAAGAGAAAAGGAGGAATTACCATTTCCGGGGGGTCCATTATTCCCGTTTCCGGGGGGACTCGGGCCTTCTCCGTTGCGGCAAGGCCCTTCGTGTCGGACGGATAGCCTATTTCCGCTTTTGCAGTTTTCTGTATCAAAACTACATTTGTTGGCATAGGTTACCCCGTCGGATCCACAGACTGGATTATAGTCTGCCGTGCAAATCTCGGAGCACCTCCCTGCGAACAAGAAAAGATATGAACACCGCAAGAAAACACAAGGGCCTGTTCCCCGCCTCTGCGGACACACGACTAAATTTAGTCGAAAGCTATGTTAATCTGAACTAAAGATGTGTCTAAATTAAAGTTTGTGAATTAGTTAAAGCAAGTTCACCAATTTCTTACCTTTCCTTGAGAGACTGCTAAACCAGACTCGATTTAGTCATTGCTTAATTTATGTAATATTTGATTATGAATATATTTCGATGGATGGATTTCGTAGGATGTGCTGGTATCAGTTTCAGTTTATATCTTGATTTCGATGTCGCAGAGGCAAAGAACCTGACCCAAATGAAAGAAGGACACGAATATGAAAAAATACGGACTTCCCCCTCCAGCCTGAGGCGATGGAGACGCCGCGACCAACAGGACCCACGAGAAGAGAAGCGGAAGCAGGAGCATCATGGCGAGAATCTGGAAGGGTAAACAAATCGCTTTCTTGGAATAGGAGGAAAATGAGAACCGGTTCCTCTTATCAATGATCAGTACCTCTTGAGTGTGGTAAACAAAGAGGTCACCTACCGATTAATTTCCAACTACCGGTAGTTCAGCTTGGTTCAAGTAAGGAATGGGAAGGACGTTCCTATAACGCTCCGGCATGGAAGCATGTTGCAAGAAAGAGTGAGAACACCGTTGCCATTCATATTGATGATATTTGAAGGAAAAAAATGATCGACATGGACGCCTGGAATTTATGACTGCAGAGAGGGGAGGGGTGGGTCTATTCATCACTCCCACTTTTACACCGTTTCAATACTTATACGATTTTCGTAATCAGCATTGTTGAAAAAGATATAGCCAACGCATGCCGTCGTGTTCATTAGTTTGTGATGGGCCTGAAATAAGCCCGAGGGCAAAGGCAAGCTTTACAAGGAGTCGTCAAGCCGTTCCAGGAGGATTACTCAGAGACAAACAGCCAGTTACTCAGAGTGGCTGTGCCGAAAGATTCCACACCAGACAAGCACTCAGAACGTGCCGAGCGAGAGGAGGCAACCCCAGTCGCCCGGAGCAACACTACAAGACTCCTACAAAACTTCCGCAGGCGTGGGGCATATTCGCCTTGGCGTTTCCTCTTCTAACCCCAGGACGTGAGGTGTGCATCGCTCGTCTTCAATATTGTTGTCTACTACTCTTCTAGAGCCATATTAACCCATTTCATAACATTGTGCACCCTGATTTTAATCACAATCAACGGATTCTTGAATTCTTGTCATAAGTGAGCTAAGGCCATGGGCCATATGTGATGGAGACCGCCTGGGTCCGAATCACCTGCCACCACGATCCTCCTCCAACCTTCGGTTGGGATCGGTATCAATCATATAACCATAAGGACTTGTTAGCCTCCGAAGAGTAAAAGTTAAAGCACACACCGAACCTGTGACAAGTTGACTTGGAGTGGCCAACTACCAATAAAGTTGCTGGTTTTTGCCCCATAACCGGTCATAAAATTGCTCGGGTTAAATAGTAAAATATGAGACTTACGTCGAAAGGCGAGCTGTAGCGTGAGAGCCGGGAACGAAGACGATTGAAAGAGACTTCGTCTGGGCACCGTCCGTGAGAGAACTGAAGGGTTGAATCGCACGGAGGCTGCTTATATACGCGCTGTGGATGGGGGAGGGCAGCCACGCGACTCTTACGTGGGCGCGACGTTTCTCCCGCAGGAGTAGGGGGGATTCGATTCTGGGAACTCGGGGAAGCGAGGGGAAAATTGATGGTTTTGGGAGAAGGCGGCTGGCTATCTCCTATCGGTGTCTTTGTAAAGGGCAGGTCAAGGAGGAGAACTCTTGCCGATCGTAACACATCATCATGAATTCATGGGTTTCCGAGGAGCTGGTAGGACTTATTTTGTCATCTTTCATTCGCTGCAAGATGTTGAAGAACTTCTCTCTTCTGCTTCGATCTCATTGCTAACAGGTGATTTAAAGCGTTGAATTGAATTTGGCCACCATGGCCTTTGCAAATTCGGATACCGCTCCTCTTGTCGGGTTGGATCATCCACCCATACTTGGAAATTCAGAAACCGAATGGCACATTCGTATGTCAGCATCCGTTGACCTGCCAGGGGATTTTCTGCTACTAAAGCGTCGTCCAATTTTGTCTGCATTTCCGGACACACACAGAGACGTCTAGGTCCGTAGATCCATCTCCGTCCGGCTTCCCGGCCTTGGCCTTGGACGAGGACGAACGGAGTGAATCCGATCGTATCGTGGCGACTGCAGTTCTATGCTAATCGGATGGCTGGGAAGAATGCGTCGCGATTCCCCTCGTGCATGGATACGTATGAGAGCATAATATGCATCGTTCTCAGAAAAGCTTCATTCGTTCCATTACGAGGGATACAATGAGGGCTCTCCTTTATCTTGGCATGCATAATTGATCGGGACTGAATAAAAATCTCGGCCTCGATGCGAGGGAATTTGACGGGATCCGCCGAAGCGCTGCAAGGTGACACCGAGAAGAATGGGGAACTCCGGCCTGAAGAATAAACATTTTCCCGATCGATAGGCTTTGGTAGCGCCAATTACATTTCTTCAACTCCGTCGCAGCAAAATTCAACCTCCTCGTATTCCTCTCTGAGAGCATCAACAATAACGAAATTAGGCGTGCTTTTTCCTCTCTCAAAACAATATCTCCAGCAAATTTAAAGCTCCATCTCCCCAGGGTTGCGGAGGACACTCCATCTCGCTTTTGGAAGATGTGAATTTCATACCTTTTTATACCCCCTCCACTCCCCTTTATACTCCTTGGGGGCTTTCGGGGGAAAGAGAATAATCATTAGGAAGTTATTGACCTGTAAAGGACGAAAAGTGCCCTTTTTTCTTTTTGCAATGCACTGCTTCATGAAAAATGAAATTAGCTGTCGTCCAATTAGGTTTAGAAATTAGAGTGCTTGCTCGGAACCGTCCCCCAGTGTTGCCGGATACCGTGCCGAAATCACGCCAGACTACTTCAACCACCGTATCGACGTCTGGATCTTCTGCTTTTTATGAGACGTTTTATGAGACTGGATGAGACGTTTTGTGTTGAGTTCATGAGTTGATCCGAGAATGAAGCTACGGTTAGCCCTGACTGATCGATGTGGTGATATGGAGATATGTTATTCGGACATCCCTGAATCTCCACGATGGCGCGCGCCATGGATTTCACGCTTTCTGCAGGCATTCCCTTCTCAGACCTATCCGAGATGGTTCAAGGAACTCCAAATAGGCGTGACGTTACACGTCCTCTCAGAAATCGTTCGTGAAAGTGTGAATAGGTCTGTGATTGGCCCAACGTCACACGTCCACATCGAGATGTCTCGAAGACCACGTATTCACCCTCATTGGCCTAATTGGTCCCGTAAGTCGAGAATTGAGTTTCTTCAGAAAGAAAAAAGGTTAGCCTTGGCTCGACCTGAAGTCAACCTGTCTGTTAGGCCTAGGCCTTACGTTAGTGAGTCCTGTAGAGCAGTGTTTCCCAAACGGTGTGCCGCCAGTAAGGCTTAGGTGTGCCGTGAGATTTGAGAGTTGACATAAAAACTAAGAACTAAAACTCAAAAAGTTAAAAACTTACAAACGTGAAAACAAGAGGGAACGCCTTCTCTCAGTGGAAAACGAGCTGAGAGTTGTACTATCACGCCTTGTATCAAACTGCTGTGTTCAGCGAAGCAAGCACAAGTTTCCCATTGAAAGTGAGTAATTGGCTAGGTGTGCCGTGGAAAGTTCAAGTGTCCTTATGTGTGCCGCAAATAAAAAAATATTGGGAACCTCTGCTGCAGAGAAGGGTGGGGAAGGGGTTTGAGGAGAGGGAAAGCAATTGAATATTGATTTTCGCATCACGTCCTTGAGTTATTCCTCGGACCCGGTGACATCTATCATCAACAGATGCCCTGCAGACTTGGATCGGTTTTAGACCAGTTGTAGACCGGTTGTGGCGGGTTAGGAACATTTCCGTAGAGATTAGATTCGGAGTGATAAAGAGGGATGGGTATTTCCCTGGTGCCATTTTTTTAAAAGTCTTTTTAATCCCTAAGGGCACTCGCAAAATGGGGTGGGAGTGGTTTTTCCACTTCCATGATTAGGGGAAAACAAGGAAACTCTTACTATTTTTACGTCCAATGACTAAATCCAGCGTTTCTCTCAGCCCATAATGACCAGTCCGGGGGGCGACCATTTTGTTTGGCCCCTCTCTGTAGCTACCTGTTTTCAATGGTCAAGTTATGGCAGGAATGAATCTTCAGTGACAGAAAGTGGGTGTGCATGGCCCCTCGAAACGGGACATAATCGTACGTGCTGCATCTAGAGTCGAACGGATGCACTCCGTGACTCGAACGCGGAATTTCTCCCTTTCACTCCGTAATCTGTGCAGCCAGCCTCAACTACCCTAGTGACGAATGTTTGCCGGATCTGTTCGCTCATTTTGCCGCCCCTTTCTACGTAAGAGGAAGGCAATCATACGAGGAATCAAATGATTATTTTTCCTGGAATACGAGTATGGCTTCGAAACACAAACGCAACTAAGTGGGGCTTAACATTACAATAGAGTAAAATACAAGACGATGGGAAAAGCAAAAGCAAAAACTTAAAGAGTAACCAGCAAATGTTCGATAAAAATACACAAAGGGATCTTTACCAAGAGATCATCTGGATTATCAACATCAGAATGAGAAATTTCTTGAGATCTTTGTATGGTTCTGCTTCTGATGCTGTTCCTTTTGCGACCCTTTTCATTTTTCTTTCGTCAAACTATGGCTATTTGCAACGCTGAACCGAATATACACTCAGGTCCATGTCTTTCGACATAATCAATCCAAACTAGTGGGATATTATCCTATATCATATTCCTAAAGGAACTCTTACATTAAATTGTGCATGAATGCGTAGTTGTATGGAATAATTTTCCTAGAGATACCCTACAACTGAAACACGATCGTTTCATATCAAATATCTGAGCGGACTCAGATTTTGCACTCGTACTTCTTCTCACGATCGAAATATCAAAGGAAATCAGAACCACAGCATCTTTGATGCAACAGGGAAACTGCAGCAAGATAATTAGATCGCCTGAGTGGACGTCAAACAAGCAGTCGATAGTCTAAGCGTTCGAGTTTCGTTGTTTTGCCTAGGTCGGCTTGGGAAGGTGTCGGCACGGTTCTCGTCTCACCGTAAGCAAACGGATGTGGGCGCCGTCTCTTTCGATATATTTTCGCTCTCGATAGGATCGGAAAGGAAGGTGGAAAGGGACGAGGATGGGGAACGATCGAATGATCGTGATGTAATCGCCAGCCTCCCCGATGGAATTCACGTTTTCAGGTGGCACAACTGCCGCATGCAAGCGTGTTGGCTTGGACGTACGCGCTCGGAAACCTAGTCCCACTCGCAAACAACAAAATTTTACCCGGAAAATTCGTCAGTTTGGACGGAATTCGCCGCGCACTTGCCGATGGGCGTGATTGCACCCATTTCACGCGGATCGGGGAACGTGCCCGTGCGAATGGAGTCGCTCAACGCGAGGAGCACCCGCGGAGCACGACGTGTCCTCAGAGAGGATAGCACTCCAGAGAAGGTCGAGTGTATAGCCGTTCGTGTCGCGATTCAAGGCCCTCTTGGATGCGGGAAGCTGGAGGAAAAGGCCTCGGAAAGCCAGGAGTCCGTCTCCGACTCTTCCCTTCTCGAGACGAACTCCACAGCAGACGTCGTTTTGTCGTCATCCGACCGACGGTCTCAGGTGGATAGAAGATCCTAGCGTCTCGTCGCAGAACCCATGCAGCCTTGCCAAATGCGCAGCGATGAGCTAGGCTCTTTCCAGCGAGGTCGTCACCTGATACTATTCCAGGCGCGTTCACATCGTCTGTCGCTCGTGTAGTTGTCGTTTAACCCTAGGGTTTGTTCCAGTTCCGACCCGAAAGCATGGTGTCAAAATGCCGCTACGGACGGTGACAGTCCCACCGATGGACCTGTATGTAGCCCACGATAGCACGAATGTAACCAGGCCCCCAGCCCATCACTCATTAATTACCATCCAGCTCATTAATTGTCACCCTGGAAGCAGATCGATTATTCCGACCGAGCGGATCCGGCACGGAACTCACGATGAAAACATGTTTTGATTCGTTTCGTAAGAAGCTTTATTGCACTTGGTTTTGAAACGGGAGATGATGGCCTTCGGAATCGCGAATAGTCCCTGACTCCTTAATCCGGTGCGCTTATTCAACGGCATCGCATCGTCATGGAGAAAGAAAGGCCTTATCTGGTGAGTTTCCACACCCGAAAAAAAAATTACTTCAGGTTGCGTTACAGCTCTTCACATATTAGAGGATAAGCTCACCAGATTACAGTTTTAAATTTCATCGACACAGCGACAAAACTATGTGGTCGAGGCAAGCCAAAGGGGGGAGAAAAAGGCAGATTTCTCGGTGATGTCATTTGCAAAATTATTTGATATCTCAACAGCATCCCAACAACATCACACGTTTTAGAAACATGTCGACAAAGGAAAGTAAGCAAACGGGTCCATATGACTGAACCTTTACAGTCATCAAGATGTAACGGAAATGAGTAATTTGGTCGGCATTCCTGGAGGCTTTGGTCAAGGATGGGGAGACTAAAGAATCAAAACTTAGAGTGTTAAAATGTACCTTCATGAATTCGTGTGGTGACGTTGGAGTGGTAGTAGAGTAGTCGATATGAAACACATTGGTCATGAAATCAAGGGTTCGAGTGCGGACAAAAAAATTCGTTATCGGCGGAAGAGAGTGATCGGCATACCCGGAGAAGACTTCCCAGACAGGTTTCACAGTTCGGCGTTTGAGGAAGGATAATTGGTGTCGGCGATTATGGAAGCGGCATTCCAAGTACTAATCCATCATGAAGGTTTCTGCTAAGATTGAAAAAATTGCCACTTTGCGCTTGAATTATGCAAGAAAGAGGTGCATTTATAAAGTTTATACTTTACTGAAAATCGCTGGGAGTCTACATCCCCTTACATATGTCACTTTGGCATTCTCCAAATTGGCATTCCGGCGGCATTCAGCAATAGTCATGAAATGGAATTCTGGTGCCTCTTTTATTTCTTTCGGTTGCTTTGCCCAGCAAGAGTTATAGGGAGGAGGTCAACCAGCTACTCTGGTTGGTTTACGCAGAGCTGGTGAGAAATCTGGGTAGGGCTGTAGATCCTAACGCATGAGCCTGAACCTCTACGCATGAACCCTTTATCCCTTGTGGAGCCGAGACAGGCGAGTTCCAGACAGCCAAGTTCGGGGAAAAGCTGCAGGACGGAAAATGCCACCCGCGTTGGAGGTGGCATTGCCACGACAGAATCACAGCTCAATTTGGCACCGGCATGGGGGGCCAAGCGGAACGTTGGGGGGGCTAACTTCTCCTCGTCGGGGTGGGGCGGACGCATTCCGACCAGAGCTGGGGGGGACCGAAGCCACCCCAGCCCCCCCTCGCTACACCACTGCTGAGGGGGTCGTAATGGGGATGGACAGCCGCACTCAGCCATAAGGTGAAAGGGAACGTGAGAGGCAGTAACGGACAGGTCGGGCTGGGACAGGATTGAGTGCGTAACATATGGTCGATCTTGTCTTCCTGGTCGATTGCACTTTTAATTAAATTGAAATTAGGAGATTCAAACCACAGAAGGACTTCAGTACCGGAAAAAGGTATATATATTCATTTCATTGCCATATAAAATTCAAGGTATGGTCAATCGTCACGAAAAAATATGAAGACGAATTTATTGAAGATGATTCATCTGCATATGCCTTCATTGCGGATTTGAAGCCTGGAGTTCTTGCATTTGGCCACCTCGTAGGCGCACTTGTTCGGGTACGTTTGGGAGTCACTGGCACAGATCGGACTGTATTCCAGCGTGCAGATTCTGTCGCATGGACCTACGGAGGAAAGTAGGGGAAAGGTCCGCGGATTATTAAATTTTAGTACTGATTAATTTTACTCATTTCTTTTGAAGTAGGTTTTGAGGTGCCACGTCCGTCCGAGACTGGAAGCAAAGCACTCAGTCTAAACTTTTCACCTATGCGAAACGTAGAACTTTGATTTTTTTTTTAAGAGGAACAACAGAATCGCAGAAGAGACAATTGAATCTCCTTCCGGGTATCTTCTCAGAACGTTTTCTCTGCAATACCCTTACAATAACCTGCAATACCCATTTCGCACCATTGAAAAGCGTGGTTCGAACGGTTTTTAGTACTATCCCCCTCCATACACTGCTTGGAAGACAATGACAAGGGAAATATTAAAAAAGCTAGTTATCGGGTTTATCTCGGGCAAATTTTTTTAATAGAGAATTTCATGAAAGCGACGTTGCCGATAAAATCTTGTGTTCTCCCCGGTAAACTGCTTGACAAATCAGCGTAGAAAACTTTACTCGACGACTCGTAGTTCCCGAGAATGTACGGAACAATATCCATCACTTCCGCGAGGAAAAAAACGAAAGAACTCCTGAACAATGACAACATCATGCGACGGACATCGCTTTAGGAGCTTCTTTTCTTCAGGACCTATTAAAGGTGAGGATTAAAGAGACTTCTTTTTTCGATCCCCTAAAATGGCACCCCAAGGGATTCAGTCATTTATATTGTCGGTTCAGATCACACACTTCCAGTAAGCTTTTTCATCATCTCTTTTGCTTCTCCTTCAGGCAATCCGTACTTCGAAGGATCTCCGGTTCAATTTACCAATAGTGAACAAAGGGTTACCTGATATAAATAAAAGAAATATTGAAATATGTCATTGATACAGTAGATTAACATCGCCGGTTTGCCAGAAACACCAGGAAACAATATATACATATGGTGTCTAAAAAAAATTGTTCACTGGATGCTAACAGTGAACAATTTGAACATCTGTGGTAATGAACCATGCAATTCAAACCCTTGCTTCTCCACACACTGAACATTGTACCTCTCTGAATTACTTAACATATATTTGTTTATTATTAAAGTGTGTATACATTTTTTGAGACACCCTGTACATATGTATGACTTAGTTCCAATTGGTATATGTTAAGCTTCCTGACAGGACGTTATCGAGCGATCTTCACCGGACTGAAATGGTGAAAAAAAGGAGGAATTACCACTTCCGGGGGGTCTAATACCCCCGTTTCCGGGTGGTCGAATACCTCCGTTTCCAGGGGGTCGAATACCTCCGTTTCCGGGGGGACTCGGCCTTCCCCCGTTGCGGCAAGGCCCCTTATGCCGGACGACCAGCCTGTTTCCGCGTTTGCAGTTCTCTGCTTGAAAATTACAGTTGTTGGCATAGGTTACCCCGTCGGATCCACAGACTGGATTATAGTCTGCCGTGCAGATCTGGGGGCACCTCCCTGCGAACAAATAATGGTCCCTGTGAATACCTCCACAAAACACAGGGGCTTGTTCCTCGCCTCTGCGAACAGAAGACTAAATCTAGGTGAAAGCTATGTTAATCTGAACTAAAGCTGTATCTAAATCGAAGTACATAGCTGTTAAGAAAGTTAAGCGAACTCACCTATTTCTTGCCTCTCCATGAGAGGCTGCAAAACAAAGTCTCGATTCAGCTATTGCAAATAAATTTCTGTAATATTTGATGGATTCATTTCGATGTAACTCGCGCGGGTTCGATGCGCTTCTGAATGTCAAAAGAAGAAATGTCGACAAGAAAATAGTCGACGGCAAAAATGTCGATGGAGATTATGTAGAAATACAGCAATGTCGGAAGGAGAAAAGATCGATCGAGTAAATGTTGAAAGGGACTTTTAACACATTCGTTGCACTTGTAGTCATCCAATCATGGGAGCACGGGGGAGAGCATGATCATGATGACTGGAAGGTTCCTTTATCAACTGTCCCTCTTGTGTGATGTCACGAACTTCGAAGAGCGGTCCTGACACCGACAGTAAAATTTCTCCCTGAGTGAAGGACTAGCATTTTCTTGCCATTCTGAGATCCGACAAATTTGAGTTCATAGCAGACCAAGGTCGGAGGAGGGAATTGAGTACCGAAGGCAGATGATGTACTGGAAAGAATGCACACGTGACACATGACACTTACGTAGAAGCCCATGGAATAGCTTCATTCATGGATCCAGTCTCATTTAAAGTTAAATTACCTGCAAGGACATCGCCAAGTTGTTAGATAAGGCTTCGTGGGAGAGACAAAGCAGAGAAGGCAGAAGATGAAAGTGACCTCATGACTTTCCAGTTATATCCGCTGACAGTTCGAAGCACTCCACCAGTCCCTTCATCGCCCCTTTCGTGGAGCACATCGTTCAACTAAGTCATGTTTGCACATTCCCACAGGATGATCACTCTAGTAAAAGTCACATCTTCCGACATGTTTCGACATTTCCTCTTCGTCGATGTTTTAGAATTCGGGCTCCATTCCATTCAATATTAAGCATGAGCGACATTTTATGACATCTACATTCTTGCCCTACGACAATACTACCTTTCTGCGTTTCTGCTTCCGACATTCCGACGTACACCCGTGCGGGTTTACGTCGGATTTCAGTTTAGATTTAGATTTCGACGTCGCAGAGGCAAAGAACATGACCCAAATGAAACAAGGACACGAATATGAAAAAATACGGACTTCCCCCTCCAGCCTGAGGCGATGGAGACGCCGCGACCAACAGGACCCACGAGAAGAGAAGCGGAAGCAGGAGCATCATGGCGAGAATCTGGAAGGGTAACAAATCGCTTTCTTGGAATAGGAGGAGGAAGTGAGAGACATGCTCGAGGAACCGGTTCCTCGTATCACTCAAGATCAGTGCTTCTCGAGTGTGGTAAACAAGGAGGTCACCTACCGATTAATTCCCAACTACAGGTAGTTCAGCTTGGTTAAAGTGAGGAATGGGAAGGGCGTTCCTATAACGCTCCGGCATGGAAACGTTCCCACAAGTTGCACGAAAGAGTGAGAACATCGTTGCCATTCATATTAGAGGAATTTGAAGGAAAAAAAATATCGAAGCTGTCGCAATTCATGACTGCAGTGGGGGGGGGGGGGGTGGTTCACTTCACCACACTCTGATAGTTCCAGTACTTGAACGACTTTCGTAACTAGCATTGTTGAAAAAGATGTAACTAAAAAACATGCTGTCGTGTTCATTACTTGACTTGGAGTAGCAAACTATCAGCGAAGTAACTACACTAAGTTGATGGTATTGCCATATAACCGTTCAGAAAATGGTTGGGATTTAATTGTAAAGGAAGAGACTTACGTTGAAAGGCGTCACTGGCGAGCAGTTGCGTGAGAGCCGGGAACGGAGGCGATCGCGAGTGACCTAGTCTGGTCACCGTCCTGTGAGAGAACTGAAGTGTTGAATCGCACGGAGGCTGCTTAAATATGCGCTGCGGATTAAAGAGGGCAGCTACGCGACTCTTACGTGGGCGCGACTCGCTCGACTCGGGTTTTTCCTGGGGAGTGGGAGGGACTCGATTCCGAGAACTAGGATGAAGCGAGGAGGAAAGTCGAGGTAATAAGGGGAAGACCGCTGGCTATCTCACATTGATGCCCTTGAGAAGGGCAGGCCAAGGAGGAGCTCGCGCCGATCGTAACACATCATCATGGATTCATGGAGACGAGATAAAAGGGGGCCCCCCCCCCCCCCCTTTTATCTCGTCTCCATGAATGGCTTGGGGATTTCCAACGGCTGGTAGGGCTTATTTTGTCATCTTTCATTCGCTGCAAGAAGTTGAGGAACTTCTCTCTTCTGCTTCGATCTCATTGCTAACAGGTGATTGAAAACGTTGAATCGAATTCGGCCGCCCTGGCCTTTGCGAATTCGGATACCGCTCCTCTTGTCGGGTTGGATCATGCAGCCATACTTGGCCCACAACTTGGAAATTCAGAAGCCAAATGGCACATTAGTCTGTGAGCATACATTGACCCGTCAAGGGCTTTCTGCTAGGGAAAAGGCTTCGTCCAATTTTGTCTACATGTTGCGGACACACACGGGGACATCTCGGTTCGGCTTGACTCAGGGAAGCGAAGCATCTCGACCTTGGACGAGGACGAACGGAGTGAATCCGATCGTATCTTGGCGGCTGCAGTTCTATGATAATTGGATGACTGTTAAGAACGTGTCACGATTAGAGTCATACATGGATACGTATGACGAGAGCATAACATGCATCGTTCTGAGAAAAACATAGTTCATTCCTTTACGAGGGATGTAGTGAGGCGATGCAGGCTCCGTTATCTTTGCATCCATAAGCGATGCGGGTTGAATGAAATTTTCGGCCTTTATGCGAGGGAATTTTACGGATTCCGCCGAAGCGCAGCAAAGGTGACACCGAGAAGAATGGGGAACTCGGGCTAGAAGATAACATTTCCAGGTCAATTGGCTTTGATAGCGCCTATTACCTTTCTTCAACTCCTCCCGCAGAAAAAGTCAATATCCTCGTAATTCTCTCTGAGAGCATCAACAGGAACGGAATTAGGCATGCTTCTTCCTCTCTCAAAACAGAACAGCTCCAGCAAATTTGAAGCTCCATCTCCCCAGGGTTGCGGAGGACACTCCATCTCGTTTTTTGGATGGTCCCACCCCCTCCCCCTTGGAAGTCACTCCTGGGGGGCTTTCCGAGGAAAGAGAATGACCATAAGAAAGATATTGACTTCTACAGGGTGTCCCGTAAAATATAGAGCCCCCCTCCACAGCCCAAACCAAAAGTGCTACACATATGTATGATATAACATTGTGAAGCATATCCATCGACTATTCTAACGACATCTTTATCTTTCCCAGATGGCTTGTGGTGACTCAGAAAAATTGAGATTTGTGGACCGCATCCGCGCCGTCACTTTCCGAGAAGAGCGAGATGCTGAGTTTATTAGTCGATCGTGGAACGCTAAAAAAAAAAACAAAAGGTCCGAAAATTTCTTAAAGATTAACTGGAATAAAAGCCCCTACGAATGTGAAATTTCTACTGCTCCTATTGGAATCGGGGGTCTCTGGTTGTTTACACTGCTGCAAACAATCAGAGACGTCTTCGAAGACCTCAAGAACGACACCACCTGTTCCGCTGACTTCTTCAACACTACCCTGCTCGGATCAAGGTGGTTTTGGAAGCGCGAGGAGGACACACCGACTATTAAAATATGTGGCCTAGAATAGTCGATGGATGTGCTTTTCAATGGTATATCATACATATGTGCAGCATTCTTGGTTTGGACTGTGGAGGGGGGCTCCATCTATATGGGACACCCTATAGATGACGAAAAGTGCCCTTTTTGTTTTTGCAATGCACCATTTCGCCATAAAAAATGAAAATAGCTGCCGTTCAATTAGGCTTAGAGTCAGGGCCGCCTACGGGGTGGGGCAAAGGGGGAAATTTATCCCGGGTCCTCGTATCAAAGGATGAGGGGCCTCCAAAGGGCCTCAAGGGGGCCACCAAGGGATCACCGGCTTAGCTTTGCCCCGGGCCCCTGGAAACTTCTGGGCTGTCCTGCTTAGAGTGCTTGCTCCGGAACCGTTCCCCAGTGTTGCCCGATACCGTGCCGAAATCATGCCAGACTGCTTCAACCTCCGTATCGGCGTCTGGATCTTCTACTTTTTAATGTATGAGACGTTTTCGTGTTGAGTTCATGAGTTAAGCTGAGAATGAAGCTGTGGTTAGCACTGACTTATCAATGTGGTATGGATATGGAGATATGTCATCCGGACATCCATGAATTACCAGGATGGCGCCCACCATGGATTTCATGCTACATGGAGGCATTCCCTCCTCAGACCTATCCGAGATACTCCAGATAGGTCTAACGTTACACTCCTCTGAAATCGTTCGTGAAAGTATGAATAGGCCTGCGATTGGCCTAACGTTACACGTCCTCAACGAGATGTCTATTCACCCTTATTGGTCTAATTGGCCCCGTAAGTCGAGAATTGAGCTTCTTTAAGAATAATGAAGGTTGGCCTTGGCTCGACCTGAAGTCAGCCTGTCAGTTAGACCTAGGCCCAACGTTAGTGAGTCTTGAAGAAGGGTGGGGGGTTGGGGGGATTGAGGAAAGGGAAAGCAATTGAATAGTGGTTTTTGTATTTAATTCAGTGAATTATTCCTCGGACCCGGTGACATCTATCATCAACAGATGGCTTGCAGTCTTGGATCGGTTTTAGACCGGTTGTCTAGGAACATTTCCGTGGAAATTAGATTCGGAATGATAAACGGGGGTGGGGATTTCCCCTTGTGTCCTTTTTTGTCTTTTTAACCCCTAAGGGCACTCCCAAAACGGGATGGAGTGGTTTTTCCGTCTTCCACGATTAGGTCGGCCTGGGAAGGTGTTGGCACGGTTCTCGTTTCATCGTAAGCAAACCGATGTAGGCACCGTCTTAATATATTTTCGTCCTCGATAGGATCAGAAGGTGGCAAAGGAAGGTGGGAACGGATGAGGAATGATCGAATGATCGTGATGTAAACGACAGCCTCCCCGATGGAGTTCACGTTTTCCGCTCGCATTACTGCCGCATGTGTCAGTTCGATCGTGTCTTGCCGTACGCGCTCGGAAGCCAAGTCCCATTCGCACAAAACCAAATTTCATCCGGAAAATCTTCCGTCGGTTTGGACGGAATTCGCGCACGCACTCGTCGACTGCACCTATTCCACGCAGATCGGGGAACGTACCGTGCGACTAGAGTCACTCACCGCGTGGAGTACCCACGGAACACCCGCAGAGCACCCGCGGAGGACGGCCGGTCACCAGACAGAGGGAAAAGCGTTTCCGAGAAGGTCGAGTGTACCGCCCTTCGTGATGCGATTCAAGGCCCGCTTGGATGTGGAAAGTTGTTGACAAAGGCCTCAGAGAGCCAGGAGTCCGTCTTCGACTCTTCTGCTCCAGGCGAATTCAACAGCAGACGCCGTTTTGTCGTCATCCGACCGACGGTCTCAAGTCGATAGAAGACTGTGTCTCGTCGCCACACTTATGCAGCCTTGCCATACGTACAGCGATGAGCTCGGCTCTTCCTAGCGAGATCATCACCTGATACTTTTCCGGTTGCGTTCACCCGTCTATCTCTCGTGTTGTCGTGAAAACATGTTTTGATTAGATTCGTAAGAAGCCCCTTTATCCCACTTGGTTTTGAAACGGGAAACGACGGCCTTCGGAATCGAGAACCGTTCGTGACTCACCGCGGTCCATTGCGTTTATTCAACGGCTTCGCATCGCCATGGAGAAAGAGATGCCTTAAAAGTCTGCTGTCGATCGACCCGGTAGCCATCTGAGATGCCACAAAACCCCAGCGCAGAAATAAACCGTAGGCCAAAATGGTGCAACTTTATTGCATTTTCCCCATTCAACATCGTGCGAGTCTCGTGTTTCTCTGTGCATGATATCTCATAAAAATTATGAAGGTTTCTGCCAGGCAGTGGCACAAAGCGGCATTTTTACATTTTGGTTGTTTTTTGTTCAGATTCCAATTACGAGAGACGTTTTCCAGAAGGCCAAGATGCACCGCAACCTGCGGGTAGAGATAAACCGGCACCCTTTCGTAATACAAATCGACGGTAGCGACACACTCAGAGACAAACAGGAAAGACAAAAGAGAATCACCTTGGCCCACCCGCTGACCCCCGGCGACATCCCGACATCCTGGACGATATAAGAAGCTCGCTCCCGCTCCACACCTCCCTCCTCGCGGAACAAGGCGAGACTCAGCCCTTCGCTCTCCGTCCATGAACTCCTTCCTCCTGCTTTCTGCTTGGCCTCTGGTGGCGGTGGCGACGGGCCAGGCGTTTTGGGGATGTGAGTTTTTTGTGTCATTTTTAACCTTTCGCCGGGGGACGTTCTCATCTGAATCTAAGCTAGAAGTGGTAACGAGACGCTGAGTCTCGCGTGCGGAATCTAAATCGACTTTATATCTGATTTTAATTTTATAATATATTTCGAGTCTATTAGTAGTCATAAAGGGAATGTGAGAAGCAGACACGCTTCAGTTTGCTTTAGACATGGCTTGACTATTCTACACTTTTCTTTCAAAGGTCAAAGGTCAATTTTTTAGTCATTTTCCCGGCCAAACGTGCACTCCAAGCCTTGCAATTTCAAAATTTTCAAAAACAGTTGTGTATTCTATTGGGTTGGAAAGAAAGTCTTGCAACAATGCGCAAATTTTCAAATTTGTATAACTTTATTGAAATGCAATTTCAGTCTACAATGTAATGATCATTGTTGTCTATGACATGTTCCCAACGCACG